CCTTCACTCCAGTTCTATGCATCGAGCCTCTCTAAGAGGGTTTCTCAAGCTATGGGATCATAGTGGGGAAATCATACACCTGAACAAGATGGAGAAAAAAACAAGAGAGAGGGCAAGACTGGGGCTAGCGATGAACAGGAGGACGTGCAAATCATTCGCATCTAGACCACTGACTCACTCTCTGATCCTAAGCTCATTTCTTTCCGCCTTTGATCTTTGTGTCTGTTTCCTCACCCATAAAGTGAGTGTGATGCATGGACCACAGCTAATCCTTAGCTGTATGTCAGCTGAATGCACGAGAGGGTGGACTAGGTTCTCCCTGACCCTTTAGCCACAGCTTCCTAGGGATGGGGCGAATGCAGGCTGTGGACACTTCTCCTTGATGGGAATGTATTGGTACCAACTGCCATCTGCTCAAACTCACAACTGAAGTGTCTCGGTCCTTCCGCCAACCCATCAAGTAGAGCTAATAATTGTATTGACACTTAATGAACGTGTTGGGAGAATGAGTGTCAACCAGAATCCACAAACCAGGATGGACAGTAAAACACAGCTCCAATAGGGTGATGTGGATAATGCAGTGAACATTCCATGTATTTTTTTTTTGTTTTGGAGACAGGGTCTCAAATTCAAGGTCTCCTTGAACTCACTATATAGCCTAGGCTGGCCTTGATCTCATGGCAATCCTCCTGCCTCAGCCTCCTGAGTACTGGAATTACAGAGGTGCACCACCACGCCTGGCTTAGGTTGTTTTTCTGAGCCAGGGCTTCACTATGTAGTTCAGCCTCAGGTTCCACAGCCTTTAGAACCTTGCCTGCCCAGGCTCCTTCCAACTCTTTTGACCATGATTTATAGGTCGCCCTAACCTACTGTCCTTCCCAGTATCCCCAGGTCCCTCTGGCAACTCGGACCTAAGTAATCTCTGCTCCCCTGACCCCACATATAGAGCCACTTTAGTGGAAGGGTTCAGAACAGAGCATGGGCTGTGAATGTCTGTCTCTCCACCCCCACCTGCACGTGGCCGCCTTGGGTGCATGAGGTGGATGGGACTTCCTGTTCCCAGCCGGGAGTACTCCTACCTCCTGAGCAGCGGAGACACTGAGGTCCTGTGGCAATGAGCTGCCCAAATGGCACAGCAGCTGGAGCTGCAGGCTCCCTCTGGAATTATCCTCCTACCCCTTGCTCCAAAGAAGGGGAAGAAGCCCCAGATGGCTGTAATACAGAGCTAAGCACCCGGGGAAGGGGCTCAGGGTGGGAGACGGGCGTGGGAGGGGTGCATGCGTGCTTGTGGCTTCAGACTGGGAATAGCTGGCAACCTAGGGGATTAGGGGCCAGAGGCCTGGGTCCTGGTAGGATTAAAAGGCCCCTTGCAGCACCGAGCCTCTGGGAGCTCTTTTCAAGGCCGAGGCAGGTGAGTGGGTGGGGGATGTGGGCAGGTGGCTCCTCACTCTTTGCCTTTCTCCTCCTCTGCCCCCCTTATTCTGTCCTCCAGCTGAATGTGACTCCCACCTGGCCTGCAGCAGCAGGCTATATTCTAAGGAGGTAACCTGAGGTCACACCCTCCCCGGCTGCTGGCTCCCTGCTCAGCCTCTGCTACATTCACAGTCCTTTTCTCTAGCTGCCCCCAGCCCCAGCCCAGCCCTACCCCAGAGCGCCTCACTGCCTGCAGAGCCGGGTGAATCCAGGGCACAGGTACCTGAGGGAAGAGCGCTTCTGGGAGCCTCTGTACATTTTTAGCAAGGAAATTGCATTTGCGGGCTCGTTACCCTGAAAGCCCCAAATCCTACTGCTGGTACCATCTCCTCCCCTTCTAAGGTACGAAGGAGGCCAAGGGGCAGGATCTGTGCCCACCACACCTCCGATGCCCCCACTTGAAAGGGGGAAGCTGGCAGTCGCCCTGGGTTTGCTTCTGCCACTCAAAATGGGGGAGTGCAGCCCACCCTTCAGGTGGGTAGTCGTGGCTCTAGCCAGCTACCTCAGTTACGAAAACCCTGGTCAGTGAGATTTTGCCCTGCCCCCTCCTCCAGAAGCCCCCAGATTCCTTCTGGGGCCACAGGGCTTGCTTCTCTCCTGCCTTTCTTCACCTTCCCCTCCATCTCGCTCCCACCTTGTTGCCCATGCCCGTGTCAGCCCCTGCCCTTGCCTGCCTTCTCCAGTGATAGGCGGTGGTCAGCAAGCGTCCTGTGTGTGCTCAGAGCCCAGGCAGCCAACACCACCCTTGCCTCCCCTCCCCCCAGTCATCTCCCAGAGTCCCTGAGGCCTCATTATTAGAGTCTCAGTGACCCCCCATTGTCTGCCCTGTCTGGCCCTGGCATGAAAGGTAGAGTTTTGGCAGAGAATGGAGGCTCGGCCTGATTCCAGCTCATTCTCTGTGGTATGGAGCCTGTACTGTGTTGGGGGCAGGCTGAGCTGGGGGCCTGGGGCCGGGGAGCCACAGGGCAGCCCCTGTCACTAGGACAACAGCAGGGAGCCCTGGTGGAGGAGGGCTAGAGGGAGAGCAGGTGGCTCTTTGTCTGGTGTCTGATCCCAGCCCACCCCTATCCCATAGACCTCCCAGCCTTGAGGAGGCCCCTGGGAGGGGGCTGGTGTCTCTGCTCCCTGCACACAAAACCACTCGGGTGGGGTTTCTTCCCTCTGCCCCTGCACAACCACGGGGGTCTTCTCACACCCCTGCCCCCATCTGCTCGTTCAGAGCTGAGGCCCACATGGGAGCTGATGCCCGAGTAGCTGCCAGGGTTGGAAGCAGAATCCCAGCGGCCCCCGCCACCTTCCTTCTGGAGGTTCAGTTTCTGTACCTGGGCAGTAAGTTGGGCAGAGCTGCTGCTATCTGGGACTCTTTCCTGCCTTAAACCTGTCTGTTTAGGGCGGGATCATGAGGCCCTAGAAGCCTCCTTCTGCACTGGCCCATCTGGGTCTGCACTCAGTTCTCTGGGCCTTCAGTTCTGATTCTGGGCAGGTGGTGACAGGTGGTGCTCAAAGCTCAAGCCGCTTCACTACTCCGTGCTGATTTTTCTATGTCCTCATCTGTAATATGGGGACACTGCTACAGCTATTATACAGGGGCTGAGAAATCATAATCCTAAGGTACCTAGCATAGTGTTTGGCCCCAGGAACATACTGCCAATATTAGGGTTTTCTATGCTGAATGGTGTTTCCAGAGCAAGGGAAAAGTGAATTGCTTGAAATACTTGATGTAAACTGAAACACCGAGAGCTGGAGAGGGTGGTACAGACCAGTGATCCCACATTGAGTAATCCCACACGTGAGAGGCTGAGGCAGGAAGATTGTGGCAAATGCGAGGCCAGCCTGGGCTATGTAGTGAGAGCCTGTCTTAAATAAACAACTGAAAACCAGATAGATGTTACCCCTGTAGCTTGGTGTTTGGAGTGGAGGACTGGGGAATATGTGGATTTGGCCTTCTGGACTGGTCTCACACGCACACGCGCACACCCATGCACACACCCATGCACACACCCCACTCCAAAGTGCACACAGTCTATTTATTTACGTATCTATTTGGTGATGCTGGGACTTGAAGCCAGGACCTCACCCATGCTAGGCAAGTGCTTCCCACTGAACTACCTGCTCCAGTGCATCCGTTGCCTTTTAAAACCTACGTGGTTCCCAGCAGCTTCCATGGGGGGGGGGCTCAGAACCTCGACAGGGATGCCCTTTGTCGACAGCACTGCTCTCTGCACCTGTGGGAAGACCAGAGTCTTGTTCCCTGCTGGGCGTGTGCAGAGGGCACGGGTGGGCTCCGAGAGGAAGACGTATGCAGAGCTTAAAGGCTTCTCTGGGAGAGATGAATAAAAGGCTGCCTCTTCTAACTGAACCCAGGTGGATTTTCATGGAAAATTAGTGCCTGTCTGTTCATGTAAACGTTGCTGTCTCTTCATCCGACACATCTTGATTGAGAGCCATAGCGCAGGCACTGTGTGGAGGGTGAGGAAGAAGTGATACCAGGCTGCAAGGCGCTGCAGTCCAGCAAGGTGTTGGAGACCGGTATGAGTAGGGATCTGGAGCCCGTCCATGTGCAGGGGAGCAGTGTGAGTGGGCCCTGTCGCTGGGGACCTTCCGGAGGATGGGACTTGGGAGCAGTTGGCAGTAGTGAGGGAACTGCAATGTCCCAGGGAGCCTGGGGAGGAAAGGGAATCCTAGATGGAGCGACCCCATGTGTAAAGCTGCAGAGTAGCACTTGCCTGTGATTCCTGCCACTAGGAAGGCTGAGGCAGGAGAACTTCGAATTTCAACCCACATGAGGCAACTCAGCGAGACCTCATCTCAAAATAGAAGTAAAAACAAGGGCCAAGAGCCAGCGATTCAGTTCAGTAGCATAAGCACCTACCTGGCAAATGCAAGGTCATGAGTTCAATCCCCAGTACCAAAAAAAAAAAAAAAAAGAAAAAGAAAGAAAGAAAAGAAAACGAGCCAAGAGTACGAATCTGTGCAGAACAGTTTCTTAGCATGTGTGAGGCCCTGGTTCAGTCCCTAGCACCACACACACCCCTGGATAAAACCCACAGGGAGGGAGCATCTCTGGGAAGCTGCCAGCCTGGCATGTGCAGGTGTGGCAATAAGGGTCCCAGGATGGTTAGTGGCCAGGAGCAGGACTCACCAGGCTGTGCTATGCCCAGGAAGAGCCCTCAGTATCCGCACTGGAGTCCCCAGTTTCACCAGCCCCCTCCTGCCTTGCCTGGCACAGGGAAGTCCCTTGCTGATGAGTCTCTTTCCTGCTGTTCCTGCCCTGTCCTGGGCCCTGGACATTCCTACCCCCACCCATTGACTTTCCTTCCGTTTGCCCTCTGTAGTTGGGAATAAGCTGAGGTGAGGCCGTTTTCCCCCACCAGCTGGCTGAGGGTGATTCTGCAGAAGGCCTTGAGAATGTGTGGACACCACCTGGGCCTCTGTGAGCCGGCTAGCATGGCGGAGGTCTGAGGCCCACATCTATACTGAGGGAGGGGTGATGCCCACTGATCCCCTCTGTCTTGCTTCTCCTGCAGTTTGACCCTGGGAACACAGGCTACATCAGCACAGGCAAGTTCCGGAGCCTCCTGGAGAGCCACAGCTCTAACATGGACCCTCACAAGAGGGAGGTGCTCCTGGCACTGGCTGACAGCCGTGAGGATGGACAGATTTGCTACCAGGATTTCGTCAACCTGGTGAGCACTCTGGGCCCTTGCCACTAAGTGGGGGGAGGCTCTTGGGGGTTTTGGCTTAGAAAGAGATTTAGGCGAAGGGACCTGTTGGCTTACAGCACTGCAAAAACCCAAGCCAGAGGACACCACCAAGGACAGCTACGAGCTGAAGGTTTCTCCTCTCTGGATTCTGCTTCTCCAATGGTTGCCAATCCTTAAAGCAGCTCTTGGCAATTCCGTATCCTCCCATTGTGGTGGCAAAGTGGCTGCAGCTATTCCAGCCCTCACACCCTAATACCACACTGTGCAGAGAGTCTCTTCTTGTAGTACCTCCTGCATGAGGCCTGAGATTTTCTCCCTTCCACTGACCTAGACAGGATCAGTGGGATACTGGTTGACTGAAATCCATTAGTGACCATCCTGGGGTGGGATCAGTTCCACCAAAATAAAGGACTGGCAGTAAGGAGGTTGTTGTTGGCAGGAGGAGCTGGGGAAAAGATGCAGTGTCAGGCCAAGTCAGGTCTCCTGGGGGCATGTGGTGGAGGCCAGAGTTCATCAGGCCTCCTGGCAGATGTCTAGAACCAGAAGGGCTGGAAATGGGAGGCTCAGGAATCCTTGCCCTGCCTGGAAGTGGGGTAGCTGGTAGCTCCTTCCAGGTGTCAGTGTGTGTCATTTTGGGGCGACCATGGTAGGGCTGGAATGGGGTCAGGTCAAGCAGGCAAACTTTACCCACCTTGGGATGGACTGGACTTCAGGAGAAGCTGAATGAAGACTAAGATAAACACAAGAGCAGAAGTCTTTGCTTGGTTTCCCATTGGTGATGTGGAGGCGGTGCCCTGGCATGGAGTCACCCATAAAGGCAGGGGCGAGTAAGATGGCTGTGGGCCGTTCCTGGGTCCCTGGAGTCCAAAGGCATCAGAGCCGCCCGAGCTCTGTCACACAGATTCCAGGCAAGCAGGGCTTGCTGTGCCAGCCCCTTGCTGGGGAGTGTGTGTGCTAGGAGCCTCTGTGGGGCTTTGGGGGTGCCAGGATGAGACCTCCTGAAAGGAGAAGTATACTGCTAGGGGAGCCAGAGGGAGAGTAGAGACAGTCAGGGGTAGAGGCCTGAGAGTGATGTGAAGCCCGCAGTGCCACCTTTGACCGGGCACGGCTTGGCCTTCATGGCTCCTGCAGCCACGGAATGGGCTTGTGTGCCCTCCGCACAGATGCCTATCTGGCCTCAGGGCTCAGCAAGGGCAACCTGGGCCAGAGAGGTTGCTTCCTGGGTGTGAGCTCATGACAGCCAGGGACTGGCTGCTGTGGGGATTTCCCTGTTTTGATTCTGGCCTGGATTCATGAGGTAGTGAGAGGGGCCTGGTCCAGCAGCTTTGCCGCTCACTGGGAATGAACCTCTGGGCTTCCATTTTCCTGTTCCCAAACTTCATGCAGGATTTTTGCAAGCACCAAATATGACAAATGACCAACTGAAAGTGGCTGCTTTCTCTTAATATTCTTCTACCAGGTAAAAGCCTCTGCATCTTTGGTGGCCTTTGTATGCCCCACCCTAAGCAAAACCAATCAGACTTGTTCAGAGCCCCTACCGAGCTTTTCCAGTCCTCCCTTATTACTCATTGCAGAGAGCATTGTCCTTATGGGACAGGACAGTGTACTGTGCAAAGATGCTTGGGTGAGGGACCCAAATCAGATTGGAGCTTTGCTCATCAAGGCCTGGAAGAAGAGACTACTTGGGGCTGGCAATTTAGCTGAGTAGCATAAGCACTTGCCTGGCAAGTGCAAGTTCATGAGTTCAATCCCTGGTACCAAAAAAAAGAAGAGAAAAAAAAAAAAAAAAAAAAGCAGAGACTCCTTTGTATAATTGGCATAAGTGCTCCATATGAAACTGAGTGTGGGGGCACATGCCTTTCATCCCAGTACTCAGGGGGCTGAGGCAGGGAGGATTGCCACAAGTTTGAGGCCACCCTGGACTACAGCAAGACCTTGGCTCAAAAATAAATAAAAATAAAATAAAATAAAAGCTCCATATCGATTGCATGGGCTCTGAAATCAGGCAGATGAATATATTTTATTTTAAATTATTTAGTTATTTATTGTTTTTAGACAGAGTCTTGCTGTGTGGTTTAGATTAGCCTTGAACTCTCTTTGTAGCCCAGGCTGGCTCGAATTTACAGTGATCCTCCTGCCTCAGCCTCTTGAGTGCTGAGATTACAGGTGTGCAGCACCATACCCAGCCAGATGTGGATTTTAATTCTGAGTTACTGTGGGTCCCTTGGGGTATGACTCACCTTCAAGCCTCGGTCCCCATCCTCATGCTGTAAGAGCAGTATCACGTACCAGGTAACTAAGGTGATACCCTCAACTGCTGCCTCCCCTGAGAGCTCCCTGGGGCCCAGGAGCGTGGATATGGCTGCGCCCAGCACTGCTCTATGCGTGCCCAGCCCACTCTGAGCTGGCTGCCACCTCTCTGCTAGGACCAACAGAGGACATCAAAATCCTCTGACAGTGGGACCCATGGGTATATGACCGCCTGGTCCCTGAGAAACAACAGCTGTAAGCTCTGTGGAACATTTGGAAGGGCCCATCTGGGGTGTCCTGCTAGAGGGATGGTTTTGGGGCCAGATAGGAGGCCAGATGGCACTGGGGGGGAAAGACAGGCTCTGCAGTGCGGGCTGCATCCAGCCTGGTCTGAACTGGGTCCTCCCGCTGCTGTCCACCTATGGGACTTGGACCCCACACTGTGCCAGGCCTCCCTACTCATGGCTTCTGGTTTGGCCTGGTGCCCCTGCTTGGCCCACCTCCCCACAGAGCCTGCTAGGTAAACCTCTCAAGTCTTCCCAAGCTGTGATCTATGGACGCTCCCCTTACCTATCCTGTGCTTCTCACACAGACACTGCCTCCAAAAAGGCTGCTGATGGCCATGGACAGATTGGGTCCCCACTGCCTGCTATGCTAGCACAGCAGCTGTCACTCTGAACTGTGATGAGTGGGCACCACTTGTCCCCTGTGTCTGTAACTTGCCTGACACTTAGATGTTGCTCAGGAAACTGTGAATGGAAGGAAGGGGGATGGGAACAGATGCAGGCTCTGTGTCTGAGCTTGGTTAGTCTCTGATCTTGCCTGTGCTTCCTGTGCCTGTCTGGTAGAATAGGGGTGTCATAGTCCGACGGGTAGACCCACTGTGCAGTGCTTTAGATTGCCTGACACTCTTCAGCAGGGTATGTGGCTTCTTATGGACTGTTACAGAAGACAGGGGAATGTGGCTGGGAAGAGTTTGGGGGGCTCCCCGAGGCCCCAGCTCTGAGCCTCTCCCCACTCCATGTCTTACACAGATGAGCAACAAGCGCTCCAACAGCTTCCGCCAGGCCATCCTGCAGGGAAACCGCAGGCTGAGCAGCAAGGCCCTGCTGGAGGAGAAGGGCCTGAGCCTGTCGCAGCGCCTGATCCGCCACGTGGCCTATGAGACCCTGCCCCGGGAGATTGACCGCAAGTGGTACTACGACAGCTACACCTGCTGCCCGCCGCCCTGGTTCATGATCACTGTCACCCTGCTGGAGGCAAGGACACAGATGGAGGGGGGCTGCCTGGCCTTACGAGAGCAGGCTGGGGCCAGGGAGAGAGGACAGCGGGGATCTTGAGGAGAGGGGCAGGTTCTCTTCTAGCACAGGGTAATAGTTGGCACTCGAATAGCCGATGTCAAACTGGCTATGGTGAGTGGGGGAGCTGCCATAACCCAGGACTGCAAAGAGACAGCCCCAGCATAGCTACCTCCAGCAGTGCTTACTGCCGCAAAGTCCCCTATGGCCGCCCCCTCCAGAACAACAGAGCAGAAACAGGGCAGCGAGTCCCTTGATGTGTGTGTGTGGGGGGTATTAACCAGGCAGAGTCAGAAAACTCTGTCCATCTACAGGTGGGCAGGGCGGGGCGGGGCTGCATTGGCTCCTGGGACTCCCTTCCCCTCTGGTAAAGGAGGACCAAGCCCTGCCTCAGGCTCCCCCAGGCAGGATGCCCCTACTAGGTGTGGGTGTTTTCCAAACACAGAGCATCACACAGCTACCTGTGTGAGGGAGCCTTTATGAATAAGTAAGTGTGGCCCTGACATACCTTTAGGCTAATCCTCTTAGGGAATCAGCCATACCTGCTATTACACAAAAAAATCCTCCCACTTAGGCAACAGAATCCGAAACTACTGTTTTCCACCTCAGTGCCTGCGAGTGTGGCAGGGAGGGGGCAGTCCCCTTGTCTGCTCAACCCAGGTACCCGTGGCCCACCCCACCGCCAGCTCCCACTGCCAGCTTCCCTTCGATGTTTTATAATCTTCGTGTTTCTCTTCCAAAGCCACGGGCCTAATTACTGCTTCTGCATATGGTCTTGTAAAGTTCTTGCCTAATCAAATGGCAGGAACATGCAGCTTTGTGGCATCTTTCTTCTTTTTTGCTAAATCAGAAATATCTGCTCTGCTAGCCAGAGTGCATGTTTGTTGTTATGGCTTCACCCAAGTATGTATTGAAGTTGCAGTTTCTCGGAGATATTCTTGGACTCCTTCTGCGAGCGCTCACTGTGTTGGTCTATTTATTAACTTCTATTTGAAGGCCAATAATAATGAGCTGCCTTGGGAGCTGTGTTTGCTGCCAGGCCACCTGCATGGGGTTAGGTGGACAGACAGCTCCCCAGAGAGTACAGATGCCCCAGCTCAGCCCAGATGTTCCCAACCTGCCATTCATCGTGCATCCTTCTGAGTGTGTTCGGGGCACAAGGATGACCCCTTGTGAACTTTATCACTTAGAAGCCTCAGGGCCACTCTGAAAATCTGGGTATTGCTACCCTTCTCCAGATAAGGATACTGAGGACCAGAGAATTCAAATAATTTATCCAAGTTGGTCTAAAGGACCCAGAGTTTGAGTCCAGATTACTTTAGTTTTCTAGAAGCTTGAACCATCAATGCTATGTAAGCATTGAACCATGTATGTTCAAGCTATGTAAGCTTGAACCATCAATCTGGAAGAGACTGAAAAATGTTCCCATAGCTGAGATGATTCTCTCAAAGCCCTGTGCCTAAAGCCCAAGGCTTCTATTTTATGTACAGTTCTAGTATTATTCTCTGGTTCTACAACAGATGGAAAATAGAAGGAACACAGAGGGGAAGCTACTAGAAGGGGCCCAATACCAGGAAGCACTAAGAAGTTAATAGTTAGCTAGAGATGGTGGACACCTATAATCCCAGCACTCTGAGAGGCTGAGGCAGGAAGATCGCAGGTGCAAGCCCAGCCTGAGCAACTTCATGATTTAATTCAAAATAAAATTTTAAAAAGGGCTGGGATGTATCTAGTAAGAAAGCCCTGGGTTCAACCCCCAGTACTCTTAAAAAAGAAAAATTGAAAGTTCAGATTAGCACTTTCAGAGAGATTTTTTTTTAACACCCATGTCCCCAGTAACAAAAGGCAGAAGCCACCCAAGGGTCAATGGACAGAGAGGCTAGGTGAAGATGTAACAGGTACATGTTGTGGAATACTATTCAGCCTTAAAAAGGAAGGCAGGGGCTGGGGATTTAGCTCAGCGGCATAAGTGCCTGCTTGGCAAGCGTGAGGTCATGAGTTCGATCCCCAGTACCAAAAAATAAAAAATAAAAATAAAAAGGAAGGCAGTTCTGATATATGCTATGAAGTAAAATAAGCCACTCATGGAAGGAGAAATACTGAATGAGTCCACTTAGACGAGGTCCCTAACTAGTCAAATTCATGGAGACAGAAAGTAGAACGGTGGCTGTCAGGGCTAGCGTGAGGGCTGCGATGGAGTTGGTGTTTAATGTGTAGAGTTTCAGTTTTGCAAGAGTGAAGGAGCTCGTGCAGCGACGTTGGTGACCATAGCACAGTGTGAATGCACTGGGGCCTCTCACTTTTACCCTGGAAACCGGGTAAGATGGGAACTTCCCTGTGGGTTTCACTGCAATATTTTCTCTCCTTTATTTCTTTTTCTTTGTTTCTTTGTGTGTGGGATGGGGTACTTGGTATTGAAGCCAGGATCTTCACCTTGCGCTACGTCCCAGCCCTTCTTATTTTTTGAGACATGGTCTTGCTAAATCACTAAGTCATCCAGGCCAGGTTCAGTCACAATCCTCCTGTGTTGTCCTCCCAGTGAACTGGGATAATAGGCACTCACACCACCATCCCCAGCTTGTTTTGTTGTTTAAAAATGCCTGGTATAGAATGAGAGACCTATCTGAAGAGTTAAGGTTTAAAGTCCTCCCAACCCCACCTGTGTGGAACAAGGTGAAGAGACCAATGGGATGGTCAGAGAGGAGTGGGATGAGGGGGCTGAATGCCCCCTGGGCACTGGCTGTGGGTATATTTTGTTGTCTGAGAAGGGAGGATGACAGTGTCCTGCCGGGCCCCCAGCTCTTGTCAGCATGAGAGGGATTACCTGGGCAGTCTTACAGCTCATAACAGACCTTCTTCATTCCACACTTTGTTCAGGTTGCCTTTTTCCTCTACAACGGGGTGTCGCTGGGTCAGTTTGTGCTGCAAGTGACGCATCCACGTTACCTGAAGAACTCTCTGGTTTACCACCCCCAGCTCCGTGCGCAGGCTTGGCGCTACCTGACGTACATCTTCATGCACGCCGGGTGAGTTCCTGTCTTCTTTCAGTGGTGCCAGAGATTGAACTCAAGGCCTCACACATGCTTAGGCAAGTGCTCTACCCCTGAGCTACAACTCCAGGCCCCAAAATATTGTTCATGGACATAGAATTTGAGATGGCTGTTTGAAACTCACCCAATACCAAACTATACAAGTCAGGGACTTTTTGGCTTTTTGTGTCAGGGTCTCACTATGTGTTCAAGCTGGCCTTGGGCTCACTTTGTAGCAGAGGCTGGTCTTGAATTTGCAATGATCCTCCTGCCTCAGCCTCAAGTCAGTTATTAAGAGTGTATGGAAAAGAGGAAAATCCTGAAAGCCAGCAGTAATATTTGCATACACAGACACATGATTCTGTGTGCTTGCTAGAGGTGGGCTGACCATTTGGTCAGCACTGCCCAGTGGCTAAAGCAAAGAGGAACATATGATCAGCCGCCAGACCCATTGTTCATGAGCTGCGGGTGTGAGTACCCCTGTAAGTGGAGTACAGGACTCATCTGTTGAAGCCACCTTCTTCCAAGGTGGTCTCCATATGTAATGAGGGTCTTGTTGGGGGCTGTGCCAATAATGGTGGCCTCTTTGGGGGCTGGAGAGCAATCAGTTCTCACTGGTGCTCCTGCCACAGGGTAAGAACTCATCAGTCCCCTGCTCTGGTCTGAGTTCCTGGAAGAGCGCCGTTGACCAGAGCTTACTCTTACATGGTAGAAGCCCTGCATTGAAAACAGAGAGACCCTGGGCAGCAGCCTCTGTGGTGTCTCCTCTGCCGCCCATCCCCGGAGTGAAGGCACTCACTACCTAGTTGGGAAAGGCCCTTGCGATACCTACTCTAGGGTGGACATGGTAAGGGAATCGCTATCTCCCAGGCCCCCCATCACTTGTCATTTCTGTGGCTGAGCCGAAAGACCCAGTGGCCCAGAAGAGACCCACTCGGATTTGCTCTCCCTTCCTGCTGTGCCTCTATAGCAGGCACAGCCTACTGGAGATGCTCTGGGGTGAGGAGATGCCTCAGTGGTTGCTGATTAACATCTCGTCTCTGGGTCATGGGAGGCTCATTGGTATAGGCTGTTTAATCGCCTGGGGTGTCCCAAGTTTTGGTTGCATAGGGCCAGGCTGCAGAGTGAGGAGACTGTCACACTTTACTCTTCTCGTGAGTCAAGACCTAGAAACAACAGAACGGGCTTCCCTGCCCAGGCTGCCCAGGCTGCCCAAGCCTGTGGGAGTTCACAGCTTAGTACTGCAGTGCTTATTTCCAGTATTGCCCTATGACCCTCTGGCCCCACTCAGTGAGGAAGGGAATAGCTAAAGCCTCCAAAACCACCTGATCCATTCTCTGCCGCCTTAGCAACAGCCACGTCAATAGGGCACCAATGTCTTCAGCCAAGACTGTCAGGATGGCCTTGGGCCTTTCTCTGGTGATGGTTTCTGGTGGGGCCTTGCTGGGGAGAACCTGGAGGAGGGGCTCTCTAGGCCTGGTTTTGTTTTGTTTTGTTTTATTTGTTAATGTGTTTGGTGCTAGGGATTGAGCACAGGGCCTTCACATTGAGCTGCAACCCCAGCCCTTTACTTTTTATTTTGAGACTGGATTTTGCTAAATTGCCCAGACTGGGCTCAAGCTTGCAATCCTCCTGACTCAGCCACCCAGAGTGCTAGCATTACAGGTGTGCACCACCACGTCTACCCTTGTAGCTCTGTGTTCTGGGGGAAGGTCTCCTAGTTGGTGCATGGACAGACAGCACAGGGAGACAGCTGGTCAGCATCTCCTGGCTTCTTGTCTTAAGGCTTAAACTGTAAAATGAAGGTCTGAGCCCAGAAACCCTCCAAATCCCTGTGCCTGTGAGGCTGGTGCTGTTTCCCAGCACCTTTCCAGAGAATCGTTCTGATGCATCTCATCTCCACCAAGTCCTTTTCCTAGCATGGTCAGTAGCAGGTAAAAGACTTCAGCATGGTGGGCATTCAGGAGCTGCCTCCCAAGTGCCCTCCAAAGTACGCAGTCACCCAGCTGGTCTCTGGCAGTGCCCCAGAGACCAGGAGCAGGGCTGCAGTGCAGGCCAGGGCCAACCCCTCGGGTACTCCATAACTGAAACTACCCCTAGAGTATCGTCTATGTGTTGTCTCGGTTTAAATGAGATAGATAATGGATATCAAAGTGCGCTGTAAACTTGAAAGCCTCACATTGATTGAATAATAGGGCACCGATAACATTACGATCATTTCTGGTAATACATGGGCTTGGCGAGACACCTCACATACACTTGGCAACAAGATCTGGCCCCACATGAGGAGCAGTATGCAAAGGAAGGCATTTACGGGATGGAAAGCCTGGATCCTCCCCTCAAACCTGAGAGTTTTGGAGTAGACCAGGGCCTTTCTCACCCCAGAAAAGAAAAGCTTCCTTATGAGATCTCTCTCCCTCTGTCTCTCTTTGATTTGTTGTTTTTTTTTTTTGTTTTTTGAGACAGGGTCTCGCTATGTAGCCCAGCCTGTCCTCAAACTCACAGCGAGCCTCCTCACTGTCCTGAGTGCTGGGATGACAGGCATGCTCCGTGCTCCCCCACACCTAGCTTCCCTGAGGTCTTTTTTTTCTGGGTACCAGGAATTGAACTCAGGACCTTGTGTCTGCCAGGCAGGCTCTGAGCTACTGAGCTGTTTTCGTGGCCCAAGATCTTGAGGGAACACTGAAGTACTAAACTATAAGCAATCACTTTAATGCCTACACTTTTCCAAGAATGTCTTTCTTTTTCACTATCTGAGTGACCACATGGCTTGGTGGGTGGAGCAGGTCAGGCAGATCAGAGAACTAGACTGTGGGCCTTTGGTATCTCATCCATAGATTTTTTTTTTCATTCATTGATCTTAAGCATTGTTACTTCCTCTCACAGTGACAGGTGCAAGTGCTGCCAGTTGCCACCCAGGCACTGTACATGTGTTCCTGTTCCAGCTGGAAGGAATGTGCTTTCAGGGTGGTCGATGTGCATTGTCACTCCTCTGTCCAGGCCATGACCTGCTCAGAGACAAAGGCAGAGACTTGTTCATTCCTGGATCCCCAGCATCCTAGCATGCCATATTTGTTGAATGAACGAATGAATGTGATCTATCACAGGATAGAACACCTGGGACTCAACGTGGTGCTGCAGCTGCTGGTGGGGGTGCCCCTGGAGATGGTGCATGGAGCCACCCGCATCGGGCTTGTCTACGTGGCTGGTGTTGTGGCAGGTATGGGGGGCGGTGAGGTGGGGGAGACCCCTTGGGGCTGGCTTCTGGCTCCCGGGGCACACGCAAAGCATCCTCATCCCCCGGGCTTCTGACTATGTAGCCTTCCTCCAGGCAAAGCTCCCCACCTCCTGGGACACTGGGAAGAGGTGGCCACCCAGAGAGGGAGGTGTCTGGTGGTCAAGCAGGGAGATAGGGGGTTTGAAACAAGTATATTGACTGAGTGTCAGTCTGTCTGGTAGCTGTATAAGGCTGAGGAAATCACTGATTTTATCCTGATCCCATTAAGCTTGAAGAGGGAACAGATAAGACCTGCCTGAAAGATTTTTAGGAGCTGGAGGGAAATGGTGATGGACTAACAGGTCATCATGGGAGCAGCAGAGGTGTGTGCTGCTTCTCTGGTGAGGGCAGCACTTGAGCCCAAAAGGAGTTCTTGGCTCTCCTGGGAAGAGCTGCCGTCCCCTTGACTGGCCCACTGCAGATGGGAGACTGCAGATGGCCACTGGCCTAGGAGGTGGTGACTTGGAGGAGCGAGGACCTCAGCTTGTCTTGGCACCATAGCGGAGTTGAGGCGTGACCTGGGGAGTGACCAAAGCAGATTCTGCACCAACTCTCACAAACTTGGCTTTTGGACACAGAGATCCCTTGCAAGGTTTCCAGCTTCGCTGTGGGCTTTTTAAATAAGGTTTGCCGCCTCAGCTCTTCAGGGGACAGCTGTGCCTGTGGGAGCTTTGTGTGTATGTTTAAGTAAGATCTTAATCCTTTCTGAGTGGCATTAAGGTTGTCATCGGGAGAGCGGGGCAGCTTCAGCCCTGTAAATGAGCAGGCAGGGGGAGGACTGCAGTGGTTTCAGCAGTGGAAGTGGAAGGGTCCAGCCCATGCACGTGGACTCTCAGCCCATAGATTCTCCCAATATCAGCTGCCTTGCTCCTCTGTGTGGCCAGCACCTGAAGTGCTTTCCCAGAATCCTGCACCCACTGTGACCTTCACAAAGGTCTAAGGAGCACCTCTGTGGATCAGACTTGCTCAGCACCCTCACCGCCCTAGACCTGACATCTGGTGGGGGGAGGAGCTATAGTATTTGTACCTATATATCCGAAGTCCCAGATGTTACATGGTGAGGAACCGGGAAGATGCTCGTAACACTCTCAGTTAGCAGTCAATTAGATGGGAGTGCCAGTAGCCTGGAAGACAGAAATAAGATTCACAGTGACTCAGCCCTCACCCAAAACAGATGACACACAGTGGGGAGACTGTGCAGGCATCCCTCCCCAGTGATGCCAGCATGCAGTAGGAAATACATAGACCCAAGCAGGGCTCGTCAGCGGACCGTGAAGGGGAGTGCTGTGACACTGAGCCAAGGGTGTGGCCTGTTCTGCCTGAGCCATCAGTGCAGACCAGAGGGCATGCTGGTCATCACGTATCAGGTCATCGATCTGCAGGATTGAGTTGATTGATCTTTCTAACTGCTTTCCCCTCCCCTCTGCCTCCCTCCTGAGAGGGAATCCCGAGTACAGACAGCCAGAACCTGATCAGGTGGCCAGTGGTTAACAGTGCCATGTTTAACTCTCACAGCTCCCCCATGAAATGGATACTACTACTCTCTACCTGGGACAGACTCAGAAAATGAGGCTGGGTGCCAGGTGTGATGGAGCATACCTGTCATCCCAGCCCTTGGGAGGCTGAGGCAGGAAGACTGCTGTGAGTTCAAGGCCAGTCTGAATAGCAAGACCCTTTCTCAAAAAATAAAAGAATACTAGAATAAATAATGTTACATTGCTTAAAGCCCAACGTTCTGGTAATTTTTATTTGGATTTTTTTTTTTTTTTAACCTCTACTGGCCAAGGGAGGTGTTGGAGACTATCTGTCTTAAAATTTGCCAGGCTAAAATTATTATCAATGTCTTTTTTGACAAGGTCAGCAGTTTATCTGCCTGCTGGAATGTTTTGGGGAACATGTAACCCCAACTACAGCCAGCCATCGGTCACTGTGCCCAGATGAGGTATGTGGCTTGGGTTTGCCGTTCTCTCCCTACTGGCCTGAATTTGTCATCCTTGAGTTTTGTAGCAGCTTGAGGAGGACTTCTGCCTGCCTGTGGTCCTGCCCCAGGCTGGCCTTTATTTACTGTATTTGCCTGCATGTATTCCTGTGTTCCTGTATGGTCCCGAGCTGATCTACAGCAACCCTAGGAAAGTCTGGGCAGGTGGGCTCAGCGGTTACCTTCAAGCTTCTATCACAGGATCTGAGCTTTGGTGCCTGGATGTTAGGCACCAAGCCTGTGATCAGTGAAGTCCTGCTGTAGAAAGAACACTGCAGGCCCCTCCCAGTTTGTGAGCAGCTTCTGGGCCCTCCCCACTCAGCCAGAGCTCTTCCCTGGGTTCTGCCCTCTGGGCTAGGGAACCCTGCAAAGACTTCCTTTAAAAAGGGGTCTTACTGCTCAAAAGGTGAACAGCCTCAGACAGCCTCGTTTTCATACATGTGAAAACTGAAACCAGAATTCAGGGGCTATGCCCAAGGTTACACCGCCAGCCGACCCCACCCCCATTCCCTACTCTGACCACAACCCCTGAAGTGACCCCTGACCCTGGAGTCGGGACTCTAGACCCCAGGGAGGGTGAGGAATAGGTCAGTGGGTGGCAGGCTGGACCCAGGCAGGGGCCTTTCCCTGCCTGAGGCTGCCCTGAGCCTCTCTGCCCCGGTGGGTACTACTGGGACAGAGGAGGAGCTGGTTTGCTGGATCCAATGAGGCAAGAGGCCAGGCCACAGAGGCCAGGGCTGCTTCTGTCCAAGCAGTAATTAATGAGGAGCGACTCAGGCAGGCAGCCGCAGCCCTGCAATGCAGCCTGCAGCAGACAGCCCGGGGAAGAGCGTGGGAACCCTTTGTCACGCAGATCCCACTGCCTGTTTGTTTGCCACCCTGGGATTTTCCCCTTCTTTATGTTGTATATGGATGACCCTATGACTAGGCCATAAAAAAAGGAAAAGAAAAGAAAGTTATCTAACAATAGATCAATACCTAATTAAAGCCAGAAGGAAGGCATGAAAGAGGGGAAGAAAGATTTATAGTTGCCCTGGGTGGGGAGAAGGTCTTGGGAGGCCTCAGTTTGTAACAGTTTAGGGTTATTTTCTGAGACATTTTGTCTCCCAGGAGACCGAAAACTGGTTGTGGGACGCTCTTCTTCACAGCAAGGCAGGCACCTTGATAGAGAGAGCAGGGAGAGGCTGATGACCTGTGACACTATGTCCTGGGAACCCTGTGTCACCTAAATGACCGGTGTCCTGCTCCTTCCAAAGTGTGGGGCCTGAAGCCCAGCGAGCTGCAGACCCAGGCTCTGCGCCTGGCCTCCCTCTCCAGGGGCTAATTGGCTCAGGAGCCTGTGGGCATTTTCCAGCGGTGGCTTCTGCACATTCACCCCCCCACCGCTCATCCTCTGTGCCCTGGACTCTACCTCCTAGTTATTTTTAGTCTCCTGTGTCCTTCCCTAGAAGCCAAAGCATTGATCACACTCAAATGAGACCAGAACAATACATTTTTCACCTCCTCTCTGCCCAGCTTCCTTCCCTGGACAAGTTTGTCATCTCCCAGACTGAGCCGTGGGGGCTCCCTCCTCCTCCCCGAGGATGTGACATCATCTCTCTCTCTCTGTGGGGACATTTTTCCTGGGAGATTCTGTTGGCCTTTTGTGATTTATCGCAGTTTGGGCAGGGTCCGAGTGACGCTAAACACATTTCTAGACGTGCCTAAGCAGAGGAGACCTGGCTTCCAGCTTGGCTGTCACTAAGGCCGAGAGCATGGGCGTTGGTTAAGAACACTGGATTTGGCTGGGCTACTCTTCCTGTTGTGTCAGGCAGAGAGGCAGAGCCAAGTCTAGCATTCTTGAGGATTCTCTCTCTTTCTGTACCAGGGTCCTTGGCTGTGTCTGTGGCAGACATGACCGCACCCGTCGTGGGCTCTTCTGGAGGGGTTTATGCTCTCGTCTCTGCCCATTTGGCCAATATCGTCATGGTGAGCCACCATTCTGTTCCCCGTGCCTTTCCTTGTCTTTCCTCTGTGTTGCCAGCCTGGGCATTCATCCAGTAGAGGGCAACAGGTCTTCTGCCCAATTCTCCTCCATATCCAGTTTCAGCAGGATCCCTCCCAGGCCTGGCTTGACCTGTGAATATGCCTGTCTCTCTACATCTTTCCTATTTAGTGACTTTAAGAAGTGTTAAAATGTGGCTGCTGGTATGTGTGATCACTGGGATTCCTTATTTGTCAGAACTGTTTAAAGTGAAAAGGCCTCAGAAACTGTCTCACCGAATTCCCCAAAGGGGAAAGAGGCACTGAGAAGTTAAGTGACTGGTCCAGCCTCACAGGCAAGTTGTCTGCAAAACTGAAACTTGCAGCCACACCTCCTGATGACCATCCAAGTGTGAGTCCTCTGCACTGCCCCTGCTGACACTGCTGTGTCCCCCATGCTCTCCTTTGGCTTTTCCCAAAGGGCATCACGGTGTGATAGTTACAAGCTGGCCACAGAGCCAGGCCACCAAGGAGACCTGACTCCCCGTCACTTTCTCCAGGGTGACCTGAAGCAAGTTGCTCGACTGCGATGTACCCTGTCCTGTGAAATGGAATAATGTGCGATAAATGAGACTAAGTGAAAAGAACCACTTAATTCCCTAGTCACAGAAAAGGCCGAGATGAGCGCAGACTAGACCAAGCCTGGAAGGCAAGAAATTAGTAGAATCTGACATGGTGGAGGATGTCAAAGACCCTGTTTCGGAGGAAGTCTGGGTTTGGGAGCCTTGCCTCACGCCACACCAGCCTGGGAGCTGCCAGACTTTGTGTCAGTTTCCACTGTGCCTGGCATGGGGCTGGGCAGGTGCTAGCTGTGCCCACCACATTTTGGTGAGTAAGGAAGGGAGGGAGCAAACAAGAAAGAGAGGGAGGGAGGAAGGCAGGCAGGCAGGCAGGCAGGAAGAAAGGATGAACCACTGTCCAGAAAAGGCAGGGCTTCTCCTTGGGGACCCCCTCACCCCGCCTACTCCTCCGCCACTGTTTCTCCCCACGTGCTGTGTGGCAGTTGTGCAAATGCCTGATTACAGGAGTCTGGGCAGTTCTCCTGTGTTTTCTTCTTGCTTCAGCCCATTCTCATCTGCCCCACCCCCAACACCACCCCTCTTCTTTTCCCCAGTGTCTCCTTTGCAAATTGTCCAAGAGTGCAGGAGAGAGAGAAGGTGGTCCTGCTTGTTCCTGGCCTGAATCCAGCGAGTGGTTGAAGACAGACTGCAGGGGCTGGGAAGCGTGTGTGACTGTGGGAGTCAAGCATGTGTTCATGCAGAGTGTTTTACACACACACACATGGTGAAACCCAAGAACACAGGCTTCCTCACATGGCCCTTTTAAATGGGTCATTCGGTATCAGTGTCACATCTTTCCCCAGACACAGCTTTTCCTCTGAATTCTGCCTCCTCCAGTCCCCCGCCCTCTGCCCCAATTCCTCTTGGTGGGGGAGGCAGCACTACTGACCTCCCCCCTCTTCCTCCACCAGGGTGTGGATGTGGCTGTGGATTGGGGGGTGGGCAGGCACAACTGAGAAAGAAACAAGTTCATAAAGGTGCCCACTCCTGTCCCTCCCCACCTCGTGGGCAGCAGCCCGTGTCTCTGCAGACTCCATGATGGGGCAGCTCACCCCAGGACCACTGGCAGGGCCTGTGTCCTCGGAGGTGTGGGACTCATTGGTTCCAGTTTACACTGCTTTGTGGCAAGTGGCCTGTGGCCTATGGCTGTGGCCCATGGCCCATGGCCTGTGGCTCTGATGATGAGTGGCTTTCCCGGTCAGTTGGGAGCTTTGCAGTCCCCAGAGCATGACATGGCTGTAGCCTTCATTAGAAAGTGACACAGTGCTTACTGATGGTGAAGGAAATCTTATTTTGCTTTTCTTTTTTAAAAGTTTATTGATTCTATTTTGGGAGGGGGTGTTTTGTTCGGAGGCAGGGTCTTGCTGTGCAATTCAGGCTGGTCTTAAATTCATTACGTAGCCCAGGGTAGCCTTAAAGTCACAGCCATCCTCCTGCCTCAGCCTCCTGAGTGCTGACATTACTGGTGCACACCACCACATCCCACTTCATTTAGCACTTGTTTTCTCAAGATGTTTAAATGGGGGCTAGGGGTTTAGCTCAGAGACATAAGCACCTGCCTTGCAAGCAGGCAGTTGTGAGTTTGATCCCTGGTACCAGAAAAAAAAAAAGACGTTTAAATGAGACATTCTGCCTTAAATAAAAGTATGTCTTATTTAAACACACACACTCTCTCTCCCTCCCTCCCCTAGAGTTTTAAAATACACTTTACATCGAAGAATTAAATTCAAAAACTGTTTTGGCGGGTTGGGGATTTGGCTCAGTGGCCTAAGCACCTGCCTGGCGAACGTGAGGTTGTGAGTTCAATCCCTCGTGCCAAAAAAAAAAAAAAAACTGTTTTGGCAAAAGGTCTGGATTACAACAAGACCCACAGTCAAGATTTTTTATTTTAAATAGCCACCTAATTGAATAATTTATTAATTATCTTCTGCCAGGGCCCATAGTTCAGAGTCCCTTTTATTTTGGAAGTACTAGGGATTGAATACAGGGTCTTCACACTGTGATAGCAAAACTACCCAGCCCTTTTCTTATTTCTCATTTTGAATTAAAATTTTGCTAAATTCCCTAAACTGGATTAGAATTTGCTGTCCTCCTGCCTCAGCCTCCGGGAGTGCTGGGCTTAGACATGAGCTACCACACTTGCCTCCATTTTTTAATTTTAATTTTAATTTGTTTTTTACCGGGGATCAAACTTGTGACCTTGTGCTTGCCAGGCAGGTGTTTATGCCATTGAGCTAAATCTCCAGCCCTTCCATTTTAAAATATATACAGTATTTACTTACATTTGATCTCAGCATTAGATGTTTTCCTAAAATATTTGAGATCTGAATTTTTACAAATTGGTCCCTATTGTCAAAGTACAAGGAAAGATAGGCCTCTGAAAAGATACAGAAGATCTCTTACAAGGCTTGAAGGAAAATTCTTTGGTAGAGCCGGTAAGCATTCCCTGATTTAGCCAGGGTGCTTTCCTGTTTCCTGCGTTGGGTTTTCTTGGTCGTTTAATAAACAGTTTCTACCAGTGATATGAAAAGCTGTGTTACAGCAGGAACTCTGCCCGGGTTTTACTCCACACAGGCTGGGCACCTCTCTTGCCATTGGGATCAGCCCTCGGCCCAGCCCCAGAGCTCCTAGCTGGCTGGGTGAGCAGCTGCCTGGGCAACTTGTTTGCTGTGGTTGAGTTACTGTCTCAGCCTGTGAGGCTCTGGGAGAGAAGGAAATTAAAGGACCTGCGAAAGGTTCCTGTGGTTCATGTTCCCTCGGGGGCCTGCAAGCTTTTCCACATTTATAGCGGCAGCAGTGCTGGCTGCGTGTGAGATTTTTTTCCTTTCTCTCCTGGTGTTTCACTGCACTCATTTTATTGGAGGGAATAATAGATTGGGAAAATAAGGCAGCTGGTTGAAGGGGGACTTTTTAGTTTAACCCCTCAGTTACTGGAGAAGGGTTCTTTGCCGGCATTTACTAAGCCTTGGGGATGCTGGGCAGACACGGGGATATGACCTCGTGTCTGGAGTGTGCAGGGTGTAGCCACAGCGCTGCGCTGCCTGGTCAGTTTGCTATGCACTGTGACCTTGAATGAGCCCTCTGGACCTTTGTTTGTTCCCTAAAGTGCTGGGCAGAGGTTGCATTGATCAGCTTGTTGACTCTAGCAACAGGGACCCAGGTAGAGAAGGGCCCTCCTTGCCTCCACCCAAGGTCATTCAAGACCCAAATTTTTCAAGATAAATGCATCATCTTTGCCTAAACATGTATGATACCCCGAGATGGCAGAAATGTGTGCTTTCTGTGTGATAATTCATCCTCACAACACCTGATGAGGTAGGATGGCTATCTGAAATACACAGTTGAGAACACAAGAGGGCCTAGAATATAACTCAGCAGCTTAGTACCTACCTAGCAAGCACAAGGCCATGCGTTCAATGCCTGGTACCTCCCCAGAGAGAGCAGAGAGAGAACATGAGAGAAAAGGGAATTCTGAGCCACTCCATGGATGGCTGTGCCATACCAACGATATGGATAGTATCTTGTTTGTTGTTGTTGTTTGCTTTTTAAAGAAGGAAAAGTTTGTTTAGCTCACAGTCCGTAGACATTTCAGTCCATAACTGGGTGACTCCAAAGCAGAATGGCTTAGCAGATGGGCACCCCAGAGGAGAAAACAGTTCAAGGCAGCAGAAGACATCAAAAGCAAACCAGGGAAAGGTGGATGGTATTTTTGTAAGATTGGTTCCAGTTGGGGCTGGGGATTTAGCTCAGTGGAGGCAGTGCCTGCCTGGCAAGTACGAGGTCCTGAGTTTGATTCTTAGTATCAAAAAAAAAAAAAAAAAATCATCCCAGATCAAGTGTGTACCTATATCCCAGGTACTCAGGAAGCTGAGGCAGAAAGATTGCAAGTTCAGGGCCTAACTTGGGCAACTTAGGGAGGCTCTGTCTCGAAGTTAAAAGGGCCAGGGGTATAGATCAGTGCTTCCTGAGTTCAGTTCCTAGAACACACACACACACATACATACCCCAAATTGGGCCCAGAGGGGATGTAGAGGCAGAGGACCTCAGCTGAGGGAGAGTGGCTGAGACATCCTACCTTTTTTTTTTTTTCCTGATATCTCTTAGGGCACAATGAAAGAGACACTGTCTTCAGATATTCAGAGAGTTAATGCTAAGTGTGCATAACATAAAATACAGTTTTATTTTTGAGACAGAGTCTTGCTGTGTAGTTCAAGTTGGTCTTAAACTCATTGTATAGCTCAGGCTGGCCTTGAACTAATGGTGATCCGCCTGCCTCAGCCTCCCAAGAGCTGGGATTATAGGCATGCACCTGGCAAACATGTACCTGTGCTCACCATTTCAGGTGCACAGTTGAGGGGCATTAATCCATGTACTGATGTGCAGCTGCTCCCATCTTCCTGACTCTAGAACTCTGTCTTCCCAAGGTGAAGCTCTATATCCACGAAACATTAACTCCTCACATCCACTTCCCCAGCCTGACAACCCACCACTTTCCGTCTCTGTGAGTCTTCTAGGTGCCTCTTATAATTGGAAGCATACATTGTCTTCTGGGATTGGCTCATTTCACTTAGCATAATACAACATCAGAGTTCATGCACGTTGTAACATGGGTTACAGAATGCTTTTTGTTAAATTCTGATTTTTATTAGTTCATGTTTGCAGAGAGAGATTACATTCTCTCTCTCTTTCTTTCTCTCTCTCTCTCTCTCTCTCTCTCTCTCTCTCTCTCTCTCTCTCTCTCGTCTTTTTGAGACAGCATTTTGGAATTCAGGCTGGCTTTGAACTCACTTTGTAGCCCAGGCTGCTCTCAAACTCACAGTGATCTTCCTGCCTCAGCTTCCTGAGTGCTAGGATTATAGAATGTGTCACCACACCTGGCTTCAGGATTACCTTTTTAACACTGAATAATACTCCATTTGTCCATCCATAGATACTTTTGACCATTGTGCATATTGCTGCTGTAGACATGGGTTTATCTTTTGTTTTGTTTTGGGGTACTGGCAGTTGAACCCAGGGCCTTTGCACAAAGCTACATTCCCCAGCTTGTTTGTTTGTTAATTGAGACAGAGTCATGGAGTGCCTGAGTTCCCCAGGCTAGGCTCGAATTTTTCAATCTTCCTGCCTCAGCCTCCTAGAGTAATGGAATTACAGACTCACACCATCCACAAATCCAGCTGGGTCTTATTTTTAAAAAAGAATTACCCATGAGTACCTAGTCTTAGCTACTCAGAAGTGAGGCCAAAAGATCAACTGAACCCACAAGTTATAGGCCAGGCTGGACAACATAATGAGAATCCATCTGAAAGAGCCAGCTGTGATGGTACACTCCTATAATCCCAGCACTCATGTGGCTGAGGCAGGAGGATCCCTGCAAGTTAGAGGTCCACTGGGCCACAAAGTGAGTTCAAAGCCAACCTGAACTGCATAGTGAGACCCTGTCTCAAGGAAAAAGAGAGAGAGACAGAGACAGAGACAGAGACAACAGGGAGTAAGTGAAGGGAAGGAGACCCAAGGGTAAACATCACAAGGACAGATAGGTTAAAAAAACTTTTGAGTAACTGGGTCCTTTCCAGGGCCTCCCCAAAGGTAGGGACCTCCCCCAGAGTGGGAGGAGGGTGTCCTGTGTACTGCTTGATAGCAGTTGTCCCCTGAGAGAAGAGCCAGTGATTCCCGGCCTCCTCCAGCTAGAGGCTCCCTGGCATGGGTTCTCCAGAACCCGTGGAGACACCGACTCCCACTTTGTTCCCTGTGTCTTGGCAAGGTCCCTCTGTGGACAGACACCAGAAGGGGACAGAGATCAGACCTGGCACCTAAGAGGGCCACGTGTTGCCCACCATCTTCAGGGAAGAAGGGCTTGTTGGTCAGTGAGGAATAATGGGGGAAGAGGCAGGCCGTGGGCAAAAAGCTAACTGCTGCAAGGATTTCTCCCTTTCTGGCAGCTTCCCCAGGTCCTGCTTGCTCCTCCAAAGATTTCATAGCCATTATTGTCAGTACCCGTGTTCAGGGCCACTGTCAAGTTTCATGGAAGTTGCTGCAATCTCCAAGGAGTGTGAGAAGGGCCCTCGAGTGGGGCCTGGGCAGCCAGAGAGGTCAAATTAGGAGGAGAGTGGGAACAGGATTCCCCAGGCTCTGCCCAGTTGCCTCCTTCCCCGAAGCTGTTGTGTTTCAGGAAGACCTGAGCTGGTGGCTGTGAGTGGGCCCAGGCGCAGGCACAGCCATGCAGAGAAAAGAGGCCTTTGAATGCACCGCAGGAGAGTTCCTCAGAGGAGCCCTGTGGTGAGGTCTTTTGTAAAGTGAAAAATCCTTTTGTAAGGTAAATAATTGTACCCTGTCTATCTGCTTTGGAGGTTCAGTGTTTCCAGAGATTCTTAGGGGACAGAGGGATTTATTTGAAGGCCATCTGGTCTACCCCCTTCCTGATGCCTGAGCCTCCTCTAGAGCATTTTCTTTGAGCCATGTGAAGTCCCTGTCTGGAACCTCAGTGACAGGAAACACGCTTGCCCCCCAAACCCCATGGATCATTCCGTCTTTCTACTTATTAGAAATGGAGCTTTTAAAAGCAATCTCTCTGAAGTTTTGAGTCCATAGAGCCTTTGGCTTGCAGTTTGCACGGAATGTGCCTTTCTTGGTGCTGATTTGACACTTGGTAACAATGAACTTGATCTCTTTCTTTGTCTTTGGGCTAATTGATCCGGGCTTCCATATTCCACCCGCACTGGCAGGATTTTGAGTTCTTTTGTCATCCTGATGGTTCTGCTTTGACATCACGTGGTGTGTAGCTCAGCATCCTCTGTCAGCCACGGGATGCAGCAACTGAGGCATCTCTCCTGGCACTACCTTTAGCAGGGAGGGAGACAGGGAGAGACTGTCATCTCCTGAGATCTCTGCTTATGTCAGTGGAGCTCAAGGGTTTTTACCACAGGAATAAGTTCACCAGCACCCCAAATCTCCAAGTCCTGCTGGTGTGCGCTGTGATTGAGGCACACTCTGACCTGATCTCCAACTAACAGAACTCCCTCCTTTTTCTCTAGAACTGGTCCGGCATGAAGTGTCAGTTCAAGCTGCTTCGGATGGCTGTGGCCTTGATCTGTAGTAAGTACCAATGACAGACAGGCAGGTGGGGAAGGAAGATGGTAGGGGCCCCAGGGTATAGAGGTGGCCCCATCCTTGCTTTTCAGGGGGGTGCATTAAAAAAACTAAAACAAAAGCAAATCATTAACATGTTACAAGATGAGGATATTGTGAGAAAGCCTGCCCTCTACACTGCTTTTTTTGTGTGTGTGTGCTTTTTGAGACAGGGTCTCACTAAGCAGTTCAGGCTGGCCTTGAGCTCACTTTATAGCCCAGGCTGGTCTTGAACTCCAAACAATTCTCTTGCCTCCCAAGTGCTGGGATTACAGGTGTGCACCCCTACACCCAGCTATACTGTTTCCTAAACCTTCTTCTTAAAACACACCAACAAAAAAGCGCTCAGAAAAAGGAAAGCACTCATATCAAGAAAAGTAACTTGCTGACCTTGTGGATCATAAAATTGTTCCTTTGAGATCCTCTGCTAAAAGTCAGAGACCCTATTCCTCAGATTGTATGCATGTTGTGTATGTGCACACTCATGCACACGTGGACACATACATGTTAAAACTTGCAGTTTCAGTAGGTGCAAAAATAGGACTAATCCACGAGCTCTAACAAAAAGAATGTGATTGGGTCCCATGGTTGGGAGAGGTCAATCCTGCCTGCAGAGGTCATTTGGGAGTTCAGCTGGCAGACAGAGTGCAGGAGGACGCGGTGGGCAAAGGGGCAGCAAGAACAAAGGCATAAGTGGGTACAGGGTCACAACCAGCAAGCTGGGAGCAAAACTGACTAATGAGGCTTATGGTTGTGTGTGTGACTGTGACCAAAGTAGATCAGAGAAGTCAGATCACGATGGCTTTAAAGGCAAAGGACAAAGATGTCCTTCGTCCTGAATGCACTGGGAGGTCACTGGAGGGCTTTCAACAAGGCAGTTAGTGACAGGTTGGAGGTGTAGGAAACCAGATGGGTTGCAGTGTGGGGAATGGGCTGGGAGGAGACAGAGCCCACAGGGCTATTGTGAGATAAAGAATGCTGAGTCCAAGGGGAGCAGTGGAGGTGGCAAGAGAGAAAACACGTTTTCTCCTTAGGCCTCAGAATGTGCCCACGATGAGGATATCATTAGGTTTAATTCAGAGAATTAAATTCCTTCTCCAAGGTCATCCAGCTCAGAGGTGATAAAACCAGCATTCAGAGCCAGCCTGTGCCATTTCCAATACTCCACTCCAGAGTCCAGCTGGACAGGGCTTCCCCACCCTGGGTCAGCTATCTGCTGTGCTAAGAGGAAGACAAGCTCAAATCCATCTGGACTGCGAGGTTCCACTAATTCTTTGCTTCCTATCCAATGGTGGCTTTGAGGACATGCCCCAGACCCAGAGATGGACCCTCTGGATCTCAGTTTCCCCGAGAGGGTTAGAGCATCTCTCATCTTGCTATGGGTGGAAAAACGTAACTCCCAACCTGTTAAATGTCAGAAATGCTGAGTCTGTGTTCCTTTAGTCGCAAAATGAATTCTTTTTTTTTTTTACACATTTTTTTGTCTTTTTCATTTTTATCGGTACCGGGGATCGAACTCACGACCGCCTGCTTGCAGGCAGGTACTTATGCCACTGAGCTAAATCCCCAGCCCCGCAGAATGAATTCTAAGGAACAGCGGAGGTTAAGAGTGGGAAAATGTATTGTGGAGCAGGAATAAGAAATAGGAATAGCTCCTGATAGACAGGAGGGGCCCAGAATGGGTTGCCAGCAAGCCCACCTCTCTGAGAAGGTTTTACTGAGCAACACTGAGGTGGGTACAACGTGGTCAAAATTATAATTAACCAATAAAATTACGACTATAACTACTTGGTTAATATTGACCCAGTGGTAGCAAAGGCAATGGATGATGTCATTAATTTTGGTCAGTAATCTGTAGTCTTAGTCTTAGAAGTTTTAGTCTTAAATGGGTGACAGGATGGACAGCCCACCTCTATTGAGTTAATTGTTTGTTTATATGGGAAATCTCAAAAGGGTGGTACCAATAACCTCGAATTTCCATTTATCCCTTGGGAAGTATGTAAATCTGGCCCTCTTGGTTTTAACCTTTTTCCCATGAGCCTCCAGCCACAGTTGTAATGTGTTCTCACCCTCTGCACTGATTCCCTCGAGGGCCAGCCCTGTCTGACTACCTATAATATGTCTAGCTAATGTAGCTATCTGTGCTAATCTCAGAGAAGACTTTCTAGCCTGAAAACCACGGCCTCTGTGCCAGGGCAGCAGGGGTAAGAGCTGGGGGCGGTGGTGGGCATAGCCTCTGTGTGCACTCAGATTCTGCTTTTTTGTCTGCTTTTGAGGAAGGAAAGAGAAGCAGCAGCTTCACTATTTATAAAAATCCAACTTGAGGTATCATGAAAACTCAAACACTGATTTGGAATTGGGAACAAAACCTTCACCAGCTTCAGGACCTAAATACTTGGAGGCCAGAAGTGTGCTGGGGCTGGGCTGAGCTGGGGAGAGCTGAGCGTTGGTCTCCGGCTGCTGCTTTCCTGCCCTCTGTCGGCGATCCTTGGAGTTGCAGGGCTCAGTGTAGAGGGTTGGGCCATCCCGAGGGAAATGGAGGTCCCTGTGGGTTCTGGTATCCTTGGGGTGGTTACCGTGGAGACAGGCACACTGGTGGGGTAAATAGTTACCATGCAAGTGTAGCATGCCCCTCTAAGGACCTTAGTTCCACCTGTCAGCTTTGCTTTGGTTTCCTCATCCATCAAATGGGGATATGAGTGTATCCCTTCAGCTGGTGTGGAAGTACACACCTATAATCCCAGCACTTGGAAGACAAAGCCAGGAGGCTCATCACGGGCTACATAGTGAGTTCCAAGCCAGGCTGGACTGCATAGGAGACCCTGTCTCCCCTGTCCCCCCCAAAATGTTCCTTGAGCATTCCTTTAGTATTAGGAAATAAGATGGCACAGCTGTCAGTAACCCTCCCTTTAGGAGACTGCGTCTCTGGGTTCAAACCCCAGCCTCACTTGAAGAGGTTGGGGGGAAGCTTCATCTCCATTTGATTGAAAGTTCATCAAGGGAGAGACTGGTGAAGAGAGATTTCCACAGACTGTCGGGGTGAAGGTAGAATTGGGGTCATTATTTACATTCCTTTTTTACTCTTGTCCCCACAACCCCTCCTTCCAACCACATCAGTGCTGGTTCTAAGATAAGACATGAAAACCCTATAGATTGCAGAGTGCACGGCACATGTTGAAGTTGGTAATAACTGAGACTTTATACCAGTGGAAGCACAGGGAAACTGAGTCCCCAGGACTTAGCATGACTCCAGAGGTGGTTTTGTCAGGATTGGGCTTCTTACGATCTTCTTGTGGCAAGATTCCTCCTAAGGTGACTCTACAGACAAAAAAAAAAAAAAAAAAAAAACCTCTCCCTGTGCCTGGCATTGATTTGATATCACTTATTTTTCTCCCATAGAAGTATCTTTTAATGAAATTGCTTTCAGGATGTAATTGTTTGCTGGTTCGTTACCAGACCCTGAAAACACTGGGAGAAGTTTTATCAGCCTCTTTGATCGCTGTGTCTCAGCATGGATGGCACTTGGCCTCGTGACAGCAAATGGATTAATGGGTGGCTGCAGGGCCTTGGCCCGGGCCCTCCTGTGACTTCTCTGCACTTGGTCCCTTGCAGTGAGCATGGAGTTCGGACGGGCCGTGTGGCTACGCTTCTACCCGTCGGCTTACCCGCCGTGTCCTCACCCCAGCTTCGTGGCACACTTGGGTGGCGTGGCTGTGGGCATCACCCTGGGCGTGGTGGTCCTGAGGAACTACGAGCAGAGGCTGCAGGACCAGTCGCTGTGGTGGATTTTTGTGGCCATGTACACCGTCTTCGTGCTGTTCGCCATCTTCTGGAACATCTTTGCCTACACCCTTCTGGACCTGAAGCTGCCTCCACCCCCATAGGGTGCCAAAGGGCAAGGCAAGGAGGGAAAGGAGAAGTGGTGTCTAGAGAGGGCACCTGCGTCTTTTTCTTATGGCCAGCTTGATGAGGCCAGGGAGGAGAGGTTGGAGACCCTGGGCTGCTGTGACATTGGGCTTTAGATTTGGACACATATTGGAGGCTTTTTCTGAAAGGCATAGGTGGAGGAGTTGGATGTGGCTGCTGTGCTTTTTCTAGGCTGTTCTGATGAGATTGGGCCCGTCTGAAGGCTCAGGGAGGGTGAGAGTGGCCATTCCTGTGGGCTGGGCTTGTCCCATCGGGGTTCCCTGAGCTTCCCTCTCCCTGCTGTGGACAGCAGCAGCTTCTCCCTCACCCTCCGTCTGGAGACCCTAAGGGAAGGTGTGTGGGACGCCATGGTCAGGCAGGCCTTCCCCAGCCCAGGGACAGTGGCAGGCCAGGCAGTGTCCCTGCCACAGCTCTGGACTGAGCACTGAGGTGAGAAGAGGGCCTGGTGGGGGAGCTCAGGGTGACCTCCTAGCCCTGCCAGCGAGCACTGGGTCACAGCTTCTCAGGCCTGCGCTGGGAAGAACAGGAAGATGCTGTAGGCTCTAGGCCCCTAGGCCCCAGGCCCCTGACCCCTCTCCTGCCCTACGGGACCAAGGACAGGAAACTAAACTGGGAAACTATACTGAACCTCATCCAGTTTCCACCCCTCCCTTTCATCGAGAAACATCTCACACCCACATGCCACCCTCCCTCCCCTGCCTTGACTTCCGGGTCTTTTCTTTCCCTTCCACTGCCCTGAACCTACTTTGTGCCTCTCCTTTGGGAATGGAGACAGTATTGTGCATGCATATGTGCATGCGTGTGTGTGTGTGTGCATGCGTGCGTATGCGTGTATGTGTGTGTGTGTGATGCTCCCATCAGCAGTGTGAGGCATGTGGAGCCTGCAGAGGTGTGTGGAGCAGTGGGCATGTGGGGCGTCTGTATAAGAGGAGACAAGGTGCGAGGAGGGAAAGCCTTCTATGCTGTGGCAGGGTTGCTGAATGTCCTTGATTTTACCAAAGTTCACCCCCTTTTTTGCCTGTTACCTTTCCCTTCTGGATACCTTCCTGAGCATCACTGGTGAACAGGAGATGTGGTCCATACTGGAGGAAGACCTCAGGTCCTTCCAGGGACCCTGGGATGTTGAAAGGAAACTTTACAGCCACATTCTACTTCTATTTTTTTTTTTTTTCCTGAGATGCTTTTGCTTTCCAATTTTGTCCTCTTTTGCATGGTTAGAAGATACTTTAGTTGGGGGACAGAAGAAATCCTTCTAAGATCTTCTGGGATGCAAGAGAAGCTGGGGTGGGAATATTGAGGCTGTGTGTCCATTTGACAGCAGGAAGCTACAGCAAAAGGAATTCTAATTTATTTAGGTGGCAAACTTTGCTCCTGAGAGAATTTGGGGGTGCTTAGAGGAGTGTCAAAGTCAGGATAGCCTGGAGGTGGACTCAGATGCCTAGAGCTGGGAGGGAACTTGGAGGTTTTCAAGCCCCCACCCACTTTCCTCAGCGGGAGAGTGAGATTGAGAGAATGAACTCCCTCCACCTGCATCCCAGCAACCCCAGGTGCCAGGGCAGAAGCCTGGCGGGGAAGCCCTGCCTCCCAGCAGGGCTGACCCCATAGGTGACACCTACAGGGGTGACACCACTAAGAACTGTACCAGCACAAGGTACCTGACCTTTGACAAAACTCCATCCCCTTTTTACTGTTTTTAGAACTCTCAACCCCTGACAATCCAGAAAGACAAAGAACCTCAGGCCTAGGAGGCAGAGGGGCTGGGGCCATGCAGGAGCAAGGGCAGGAGATTAGGAGCTGCCTTCTCCCGCCTTTGTGCCTGACAAAGCCCTTGTGCCCAACAAAGCCCTTGTGCGTGGAGAGGTTGAGAATCGATCAGGTCAAGTATTTGGGGGTCTTGGGCCACTGGGGCTTTCTGTTCCAGTGAACAGAATTCCTTTTGCTGTAGCTTCTGCTGTCAAATGGACACACAGCCTCAATAATCCCACCCCAGCTTCTCTTGCATCCCAGAAGATCCTAGGATTTCTTCTCTCCCCCAACTAAGGTATCTTCTAACCACGCAAAAGAGGACAAAATTGGAAAGGAAAAGCATCTCAGGAAAAAAAAAAAAATAGAAGTAGAATGTGGCTGTAAAGTTTCAACATCTCAGGGTCCCTGGAAGGACCTGAGGTCTTCCTCCAGTATGGACCACGTCTCCTGTTCACCATGCAAACGGGCAAAGTCTTTCCACCCAGGAATACACTCAGTCACTGCCAAAGACTTTTTCATGTTTGCCCAGCACTAACTACATGGTTTTGCTCCCCACATATGGCTCCTAAGATTGTGATGCGCTTGTGCCAGTGCTGTGCTGAAATCTGTCAGCCTGAGACAGTGTGGCCCATGTCTCTGGCTGAGCTGCTCAGCCTGGAGCCTCTTGTCTGTGCCCTGCCTGCTGTTCTCTGCCCTAATTTGTGAAAGAGTCAGCTTCTTCAGGGAAGACTCTAAGAGCCAGGAAGGGAGACCAAGAAGGGAAGACCTGGTGAGGATCCAGAGGGAACAGGACTCTGTGGCCTCTGAGCTGGGGCATCTCCCCCAGAGGGTCAGAGGCAGCTGGAAAGGGGTGAGAAGGTAATGGAAGGTTCTAGGAAGCCCTCAGGGAAGCACCAGTTCCTTCAAGCCTCCAGATGAAAGCTTGTTACTGGGAGACCACCTGAGGCAAGATCCTATCTCCTGCCCTGTTAAGTCTGTCCTCTGAGGTCTGTGACACTTGGAGGGAATCTTATCTGCACCTTGGGCCACCAGCCCCAAGCTGCTGTCAGCACAGCCACTTCCGCCACCTCTCAGCCATTGATCCCAAGCAGGGACGTAGAGTAGAGACACTGGGGTCATTTCACAGGACCCAGAAAGTTTTACTTTTTGGCATCTGGCCTTTTCAGCATGCCCATTGCTCCTCTTGCCCACCTTGCCCTCCTGGCCTGCAGCTCCCTCCCTCTCTCCCCCTCTCCAACGTGCCTGCCAGCCAGGATGCTGGAAACAGAGTATGGTGTCACTCTTCAGGCTGGTGGAGGTAGACACAGAAATTCCAGACACAGAAACGGAAAGCCCAGGGATTCCCCATACAACAGCCATAGACTCATTTGCTTGTTAATCAGGAGAGGAATTGCAGACACTGAGGAAAGGAAAACAGACCTTCAAAGGAGAAATTTTGTTTTAATGATACCATTCATCATTCATTTTTTAATTAGGAAAGGCTCCCTAATGAGGCTCTTCTGGCAGCAAATGGGACTGTCAATTTCCCTGAGAGCCATTCTTGCCCAGAGCATTAAGGGAACCGCTGCCGACCAAATGGAGACCTTCCTCCAGCGTCCAATCGGGTTTGTGGGGAATGCAGATTGCCGGGCGCAGTGGAAGCCCTTTCTGGCATCATTCCTGTGGCACCCCGACTGGCTGCCAAGCACCGGTACTCCTCTGCCTTAAAGGCGGTGCCCAACAATGAACTGCCTCTCCAAGGACTTGAATAAGGGGTGGGGGTGGGGGAGACAGAAAGAAGAAAACACAAGCCACAGTGCTGGTTTCTAAATATTTTTGTATTGTGTACATTCTGTATATTTTTGTTGTAACATGATTTGAGCACAGATTCCATTAAAGATTTTTTTTTTAAGCCAGTAGGTGTTCTGGAAGTGGCCTGAAGGGCAGGCGAGGAAGCTTATTTCCACAGCTGGGTCAGGGTGTGTGGGACAGGGTAAAGAGTGGACACCAGGCATTCTAGTCTGATGGCTCTTCCTGAAGCTTTCTTGAATCACTGGTCTCTTGAGTGATGACAGCTGTGATTGTTCTGCCTATAAAAATGCACATTTGTAGACAATTTTGTGAGTAATCTTAGGGGCAGGTGGCAGTGAATAATGAAATGCATCCCAAGCTGTCTAGGAGCGTCCTGGTGAGTCCCCTGCCTTCGCTCCCACTTGTCACCCACACCATTTAGGACAGATTGACACTATGACCAGTGCTGGAGAAAACCAACCTTTCCCTCTGGTTTTTGAGACAGGGTCTCACGACAGTGTTTACTTCAGGCTGACCTTGAACTGACTCTTGCCCAGACCAGCCTCAAAACTCAGGATCGGTGCTGGGATTACAGGGGTGCACTACCACGCCTGCTGGAGGAATCTTTGAAGTAACCTCAGGACTTCTTTCTTCACCCCAACGGCCTAGCCCTTAGGTCTTCCTAGAGGCTGTCAGTATCCTGATCTTAAGGTAAAGAGATGCTCTCACAAATGTTTGAGGTGAAGTCTGGGGTTTGGGAAGTGAAAGACTAACGCTGGCTAAGAACAGATGAGGCCTGGAACAGTAAATTGTTTCCACCAAGTTTTCTGAATCAGTGGTAGTGTATGTATGAGGTTTGCCCGTTAGACTTCTCTTTGAGGATTAAGCTGCTCTGTTCAATTCAGCATGCGAGTTGTTTCCCCAAAAGCCTACTGGGTTAGTCATTTCCACCACTTCCTGTGAAATGGGTATAAACGTCCTCATGTTTATACACAGGGAAAGGTTTAGAGAAGTTTACCCACTTTCTGATAGCAGATGGCATAGCTGGATTCACACCCAAGAGATCTGGTTCCAGAATTGGGCTGTGAGGACAGGAGTTCAAGGGCACTGACCATGGACACCTGCAGAGTGTGTTTGAAAAGTCATGAACCTCTGAATATTTGCTCAGAGTTTGCACAACCGGCCCTCCCCTCTTCAGCCCGCCCAGTAGTTTTCAGAAAGTCTACAGCTGTCAATTTGTTCCTGCTGGGCTCTCCTGATTTCTAGAATCTAGTCATTTTCACCACCTCGGGGCTGGGTCTGCAGGAGTCATTAGGGACTTGGCAGTTAGAGGCCTGAGCTGCCTTCTCAGACCTATGAGTGTGTGGAAACCCTGCATCCCAGCCAGTGGGGTTTCCTAACATGGTGAGCAAAACGTGATCCCAGGAAGTGATTCTCACCTCTGAGATAGCAGCAACCTTTCCTAGCATTCAGTGTAAGCAGACACTGGTAAAGACAGGCATTCTGTCACAGGACTAGAGTGGAAGGAAGCGATGGCTCTCTCTTGTGTCCCAGGGGTGTAACTTTTCTGGACAATGAAGAAAACCTTGTGACCCAATTTGTTTTTAGGTCCTTCTGCTGTTTCTTGCAAGCTGCAGAAAGCTGCATCCAGGAGGTGTTTTGGTTTTGTCTATCATGCATCTTAGTATAACAAGGAAAATTCCCCCACAAACTTGTGAGAGTAAAAATGTCAGGAATGAGAATTGAGTTTACGAGTAAAAATGACTACTTTGTTTAAAAGCTAAGTTTTATTATTACAAATATAATTACAGAAAAACAGACAATTTTTGATACATGATAAAACGTATTTCTTGTGTATAGCACACAAATAATACATAAGTTAACTTCATAGCTGAAGAAAAGACTTTTTCTTTTTTGAAATACTGGGACTGACCCAGTGCCTTTGCACTGACCTGTATTCCCAGCCTTTTAAAAATATTTTTATTTTGAAACAAGGTCTTGCTAAGTCACTACAATTGCTCAGACAGGACTCGGAGCTGTAGCCCTGTCTCAGCCTCTCCCAGAGTGTGGGTGCTGCCACACCCATCTCTGAGCAATACTTTTAAGAACTTTTAAAAGTTAATACATAGCTGGGAATTTAGCTCAGCGGCATAAGCACCTGCCTTGCAAGCAGGTAGTCGTGAGTTCGATCCCCGGTACCGATTAAAAAAAAAAAGTTAATACATAAAAAACTTAATACATTATTAAAATTTGAATAGAGTACATGTTTCTGATCATGACTTCTGTGAATTTCTTATGATCAAGAAGATATTTAATTCCATGATATCATTTTCCTTGTTTATAATAGTGATACAGAATGTCACAGACAATTTTTAAACAAGTGTACTCTATACAATTAAGTAGTGAGTCCACATTACAAAACAGTACATATACAAACAGACTACATTAAGCCTTGCCTATATCTATAAATGAATTGAAGCAGGCAATAACAATTTGCTTTTAAACATCATTTAGAACATGGACTCTCGAATGACATTATGAATTTGAGCCAGGTATGAGTGAAGACCTCTAATCCCAGCACTCTGCAGACTGATGCAGGAGAATCACTGTGAGTTTGAGGCCAGCCTGGATTCCTGGTGAGTTCAAGGCCAGTCTGAACTACATAGTGAGACCCTGTCTCAAAACAAAACCACAATGAATTTGAAAATGAAAACTCTGTTTTCCAGACTCAAAATGTTGATATCCTAATATTGCTTATTTAAAAAATGATTTTCCAACCCGGCGTGGTAGCCCACGCCTATAATCCCAGCACTTGGGAGGCTGAGGCAGGAAGGTCACTGTAAATTCAAAACCAGCCTGAGCTACAAAGTGAGCTCAAGTACAGCCTGAACTACCTGGTGAAACCTTGTATCAAAAAAAAAAAAAGTTGTTTTCCAAGTGGGCAACAGAGTGTATTAAAAAAAAAAACAAACACATAGATTCAAGGATTGCGCCATAGAACTGCAGCTTTTCCAGCCATTTTGAATACTATTCAGGATTTTTCTTGCTGGGTGTGGTGGTGCACACCTGTAATCCCAGCACTGGGGAGGCTGAGGCAGGAGGATCACTGAGTTCAAGACCAACCTGGGCTACAAAGTGAGTTTAAGGCCAGCCGGAACTGTATAATGAGACCCTGTCTCCAAATAAAATTTAAAAGATTTTTTTCTATACTGCCTATAAGCCAGGTCATTAAACTTTAAAGTCATATGAAAGCATTTATGAAGTTCCTGGATTGTATTTCTCATTAAAAGAAAAGAAACCTCTTGGTGAGTCATGTCCCTAAATTAAAACTCAGCACTTCTGTCAACTGGCAGCCACAAGAGTATTCAGCAGTCTGAGCATCCTGAAGGCTCCTGATCTAAACAAAAATCATTCTCAAATGAATTTATGACAGAGCTAGGAATTTAGCTTAGCGGCATAAGCGCCTACCTGGCAAGTGTGAGGTTGTGAGCTCGATTCCTCAAAAAAAAAAAAAGAAGAAGAGAAAGAGCTATGCAAAACAAATATGTGTGTAACTACAGCTGACTTCTGTGGGAATTACAAATAGCTAGTTCAGGACACTCAGGATTAGGAGTAAAACAATCTATGGCTTGTAACAAATGTACAAAAACTAAGATCAACCAATAACTCAAGTACTGATGTACTTGATGTACATCAGTTTGCATTCTTTGTGCTACGTTCCTCCTAAAATGTATGCAAAAGAAAGAAGAAAACATAGGTGCTAGACAGATACCTGTGAACAAATGAGTGAAGAAAAGTGGTGATAAGGCTACTTCTGTAGTAGCTTTCCATCAGAGAAAATGTTTTATCTTAAAGCTAGTGCATCTATTTTTAACACTCATTTAATTTCTTATATGCTCATGGTTTATTTGCATATTAACTGACTTCATCATCCAAGGCAACTATCAGTCGTTGCCCACAGCATGAACAGATCTGTCTTTGGAAATGGTGTAGTGGGGCTAATCTATCCTAAGACTAAGACTGTGGGCCGAGGACTCAGCTTAGTGGCTCAAGTGCTTGCCTGCTAAGTGTAAGATCCTGTGTTTGATCCCTGGTACCAAAAAATAAAAAAACTACGATTCTGTTTTTTGTTTTTGTTTTCTGTTTTGTTTTGAACTGGGAATTGAACTCAGGGCCTTCCACTTGCCAGGAAGGCACTTGTGCAACTGAGCTATATCACTGGTTCTAAGATTATGTTTTTTTTAAAAGAAGCTATATATATAAATAAAATAAATAAGCTATAATTTGTTAGAAAGAAGTATTATGATTTTTCTGGAAGAAAAGTTGCTAAATGCAGCAGCAAACTCCTGGGAGAAGTCACAGAGTCACCCCTGATGAGTTTTAGGCAGCAAATTTCTAAGATTTAGAATTTATGGGACAAACAGTATACTAAAATTCAGATCCTTTGTTTTGAGACAGGGTCTCACTATGTATGTAGTTCAGGCTGGTCTTGAACTCACTATGCAGCCCAGGGTGGCCTGGAACTTGCAATAATTCTCTTGCTTCAGCCTCCCTAGAGATGGGATTACAAGGTTGAGTCACCACACTGTACTAAAATTTAAACTCTGAACACACACATCTACCTATGACCTGATGAAGATGGTCTTTATATTTTTATGTTTAATTAAGCTAAAAAAAAAAAAAAAAAACGACCGTGTTACGTTTCAAATAACCTTGCCACATGTGGTGACACACGTTGTAACCGCAGCACCTGGGCTGCTGAGGCAGGAGGATCACCACAAGTTCAAGGGCAGCCTGGGTTTCATCAAGTGTTCAAAACCAGCCTGAACTACATACATGGCAAGACGCTGTCTCAAACAATAAAAATAAAAAATTAACAAATCTTAAATAGCAATGCTATGAACAATTAAAACAACTGCAATTTCAAGACACCAAAACTTGAATATACAACTTCACAGTTATCACAAACAATGATTAGAAACTCTGGGCAAGCACTTCTCTCATGAATTCTTCAAGGACCGCTACCACATTTTTGGCTTCAGGCATTTCTTCATGTTCCACTTTAACAATCTTCAGAAGAACATCTCCACTACCACAGTTTTTTAGGAACATGTAACATTTAAACAAAGCATAATGGTTCATTTCTGCCTGCCGGATAAATCTCTTCAAATTGTTTGTGTCTTGAATGGCCTAGAAAAAGATTACCCAGTTAACTATGTGCTTAGTGAGACAATCATGAAGTTAAAAAGAATCTCCCCCCCAACTCAGAACTCAGCGTATGTTGCTGCTTGCTTTTTAATTTTTTTTTCCATATTTTTTTTTTGTCTTTTTTTTATTGGTACCGGGGATTGAACTCATGACCACACACTTGCAAGGCAGGCGCTTATGCCACTGAGCTAAATCCCCAGCCCCTGCTTTTTATTTTAAATACTTCCATCATTCTTATTGACATGCTTTGCTCTTGGTAGAACAGAATCTCACCTGTAAAGTAAAAACATTTCTGTTTCACAAATTGTTAAGATTAATGTCCCTTAAATATAAGCAAGCATTCAACCCATTTTACTGGAAATGAAATTGTATGTATGCAGAAGATACTAAAAAGATAAATGCTGGGCCAGGGAAATAGCTCAGCAACACAGTGCCTGCCTGGCAAGTGTGAAGTGTTGAGTTCGATTTCCAGTGCCAAGAAAAATTAAATGCCTTCTGATGATTCCAGTTCTGAGAATGTCCTATTTAAGAGACACCATGGCTCTTAAGTAGATTTGTTATTCTATCACTGGTACTGATTAAAACTCAGACAAAAAATTGTATGTGACCCTTGGCACACAGCCAATTCCTTACCTTTAGTTTAAAGTTTTCCAGTATTTGTCGGAAAAGAAATGGATTACCCCCTTCAGTGCCATTTAAAAAAGCCTGCATCCAATCCTCACAAAATCGATTGCTTCCTGTAAAACATTTTAGAGAAACTAAATAAATGAAAATGTAATACTATAAAGCACAGACCATATCTTTCTTTTTAAAAAAATATTTATAATACATTATTTAAGATTTCTATAGTGATTTGAAAAGCTGAGCTTGGTGTTGCATGCCTGTAATCCCAGTGCGTGGGAGGCTGAGGCAGGAAGATTGTCACAAGTTTAAGACCAGCCTGGAGTACACAGTGAGACCCTGTCTCAGAAAACCAAAAGGGCCAGGGATGTAGCTCAGCAGCACAGTACCTGCCTGGCAAGCTTGGGGCCATTGAGTTAGATTCCTGGTACAAAAAAATAAAATAAAATAAATTACCAAATAGTATATTTGACACATGGCTAAGTTAGGCCAGAATGGCTGAAGTCCTGTGTGCCCCTCCTCAATTGCATCTCTCCTCTTTCCCATCAAAACAAATTATGATTTCCTGGGGGTTTCTTTTTTCATAAGTCACAGTGGCCTTGACCTTACTATGTAGCCAGCCTGGCCTCAAACTCACAGTAATCCTCCTGCCTCAGCTTACTGAATGCTGAGATTACAGGTATACGCCATTACACCTGGTTATTGATAAACATTTAAATTGCTTTCAGTTCTTTGCTATTTATTTTTCTTTTTTATTGGTACCAGAGATCAAACTCGCGAGTCTGTGCTTGTAAGGCAGACGCTTATGATACTGAGCTAAATCCCCAGCCCCAGTTCTTTGCTATTTCAAATAATACTTTTCTGAGCATTTTCGCATTTTTCTCCTTATGTTCATATAGGACTTTCTTTATATATCTACGAGTAGAACTGCTAGACATAATATGATTTCCATGTTTCTAGAATTACTGTTTTCTGCAAGTTTAAGATAACCGTGAAAAACTACAGGCTACGTTCAAATCGTTTGTTCTTAGTGCGAAGAAGGCAACTTCTGAGAGGCCCAGAGGTGGCACTGGCTCACCTGCGTGGTAGACTTGAGGCGGGGAGCTGCTGCAGTCGATGACCACAGCCTTTCGCTGCCCCTCTGACACAGCCAGGCCCAGGGAGGTCATGGTGCCTTCGTGAATGAGTTCGTGTAGACTGGCCACACTCAGAAACCTGCCACACAATGAACAATACTGAAGGACAGGAGGGAGAAAACTAGTCCTTCTCCCCTGGAGAAGGGAAGGTTTACAGAGTGTAGTCATGGGGCTTGCAGTGGAAAAGGTTCTCTCTTTCCAAAAATAGCATTCCTTACCTGTTAATGTCTCTCTCTGTCTTTTCATCTGATTCTTTGACCTCCACAGGAGTATAACTCAGAGCCTATGAGAGAAAAATAAAGCCTGATTGACACCTCTTTTCTCCTTATTGGGCAGTGAAATGTTCCTTCCCCTGTAACTACCACCCCAGAGTGACTAAGGGACATGGCCCAAAGACTGTCCAGAGCCTTGTTCAGCAGCAGCCCACTACCATTTTTACAGAGTTACAATGACTTTGGGATTTTGTTTCCCTTTTCAAACTCTTTTGGAAATTTCAGCTCTCCAAATCATTTCAAAAAGCAAAACATATTTTTGGCCATTTTTTGTTTTGTTTTATTTTTTGAGACAGTCTCACTGAGTAAGCCAGAGTGGCCTCGAACTCTTGGTGATCCTTCTGCCCCAGCCTCCTGAGTGCTGATATTACAGGTATGTGCCACCATGCCCAGCTAAAACGTAATTATTTAAAAATATTTTCTCCTACTAAGACGACTATGCCAGTATTTGCAATTTCAGCCCTACCTTCATGATAGAACTTTCTAGGTCTGAGGAAATGAAGTATGGGATGTCTTGAGAGCATGCAGTGAATGAATTCAGGGAAAAAAGAGCAATGTTCAGGGAAAACAAAAATGAGTGTGTCTCTCAGTAACCCAAATTCTGCCAAAGTGATTCACCTGAAGGAAATGCTCTTACTTACAGCATGTAGCAGAAAAGTAAGTTTCTCCTGAAAGAGAAGAACAACTCTTTGGATTGGGCATACAACGTCCTCAAACCAGTTGCTCAGATAGGACTTTATGTGAGTCTCCAGGCCCTTCTCCTAGATGAGAGAGAATATCACTGTGTTAATACTACCTAACCTTTCCCCCGTAGGAGCCTTACCAGTTTCTCCAGCATGCTCTTCACAGTCCCAGGCTGGGGGTTTGTTCTAGGGCTGGCCCAGTACCTACCATGGAACTACACCCCACTTGAGCCTATTCCATTTTTTAAGGTAACACTACCAACTCAAAAAAAAAGAATGACTGCTTTCCTGGGAAACAATTAATAGGACTTCACACTATTATTCACCATAAGAAGGCAAGGAAGTTACATGTCTGTCTATCTCCCCTCACCTCCCTGCACACTTGGGGAGAACTGCTAAATAATCCTCACTTTCCCAGCACCCGGCATGGTGCCTGACACACGCAGAGTACAAGTTTAGTAAGTGACCACTGAATAACAAAGGAATATAGAGAATTTATATTTGTACTCAAACTGTAAGTAGGGAAGGACTTACGGGAGGTAACTTTGGCTTTTTCTCTGGGGGCTAGCGTCACACAGGGAAAACACCAGTCCAGGGAGCAGCACCCCAGGTTTGAATCTCTGGCTCACTCCTACACTATGCTTTCTTCTTCTGCAGTATCTTGTAAGTACAGAGTGAGTGAAAGGAACTTTTATTACACGAGATGGGTAATTAACTTAGGAGACAGAACTTTAACTGCTGTAAGCCAGAAGCATGGTTTGTAAAATATTCAGGTAAGCCAGTTAATTTGGGTATATCTAATTCATAAAGGATTAATAAAAATGGAATGTTCCTAAAGATCTTTGATGTTAAGTGCAATATAAATCTTACATGACTAGACATCAGAAATAGGGCATCTTCTTTCTCAACAGACAAATTATTACATGGTGCTGAGTTTATTATAATAGAACTTTTCACAGATGCAGAGGCAGTCTGATGGAACTCACAGCACTTACTTTCACCTTGCTTCCTTAAATATCACTGGTCTACTAGTTCACAAGGTAAAGTTTTCAGAATTTAGGTAGTCTTGTATATATATGTATGGCTTGGTAAGTATAGTTATGGTATGTTAACCACGTTAGTCTTATAAAATTAAATCAATTGCCAAGCATGGTGACACATGCTTGTAATAACCAGCACTCAGGAGGCTGAGGCAGGAGGACTGCTGCAAATTCAAGGCCAGCCTGAAGGGCATAGTAAAACTCTGTCTCAGAAAGACTGAAATAAATAGATAAATAAATCAGTTGCTGGGTACGATGGTCCATGCTGGTAATCGCAGCACTCAGGAGGCTGAGGTGGGAGAACTGCTGAAAAGTTTGAGGCCAGCCAGTACTACAAAGTGAGCTCGAGGCCAACCTGAACTGCATAGTGAAACCTTGTCTCAAACAGATGGAAGAAAAAAAAAAAAAAAAGAAAAAAATTTAAATCAGTATCTTACCTCACAATTCATGCTGTTTTTCAGCCCTTGAATATATTTGTCCAATTCAAGCCTGAAAGTTTGTTCTTAAGGAATAAATAATCAAGACAATGTTTTATCTCTCAAGAGGAAATATAAGAGCCCTCAAATAAAGCAAATAAAACAAGCTAGGGCAAATGGCCACATGAAGCACACATGTAAGGGCTGAGAAGCCCAGGGAACGTGGTAGACATCCCTCTACCCCTTGCCTTCCCTTTCTCTTCCCTGAAACCCCCAAAACCCAAGAAAGGATATAGCTCGAGTCCTTTCTCAGATCCTCCCAAAAAGCAGACCACATACTCTGAAGGGTTCTGTTCAGAGCCCGCTGTAGCTGTCTCAGGAAGCAGTTTTACTTGTTGAAACAGGCAGTAATAACAACCAACTCGGTAACCTGGAATTCTAGACAAGAAAGAAAAGGGTAAAACGCAGTGCTTTAGGAACCCGTGGATCTCATTTTGTGGACGACTCTGAATCCCTGGTGGACTGGTGACCCATGAGACTGCCCTGTCCATTCAGTTTGCTAGACAGCTCATCAATTTTCTCATGACAGTGGAGGAACATGCACACTATTCTGGTGAATTTTAGTTAAAGCAACTACTAACAGATGACTGTTCCTTTTGAGATTCTGATTTATGTAAACCTTTCATGTACTTTCACTCTTGTGTTTTGTTTTGTCTTGTTTTGGTACTGAGGCTCGAACTCACGATCTTGCACTTGCCAGGCAGGTGCTTATGCCGCTGAGCTAAATCCTTAGCCCCTTCACTCTTGTTCAATGCACACTCATGCGTACATGAATATAAACATGTTTCCCCCAACCCTGAACCTTCATAGTCACTGATGCTCCAGGTAAGTATACCAGATCCACCCGTAGCCATATTGTGGGTTCCTGGCTGCCTTCTCCTGAGGGATCTATGTGCCAACTTCATGGCCTGAAGTGAACTGAAGTCAGGGAGGGTAATGCGAAGACATCCAGAATTGGCCTGAAGATGCTTTTGTTTAAACCTGACCTCCTGCAAGATAACTAGTCCTGTGACGTCAGGCAACCCATTTAACTTCTCGGTTCATGTAATCATTTTAAAATGGAAGAGTACCAGTCTGTCTCCCCTTTATAAAGAGAATGCATCAAAATTTGTGAAGCCCATTACAAACTATAAAGTAGACAATACAGCTGGGCATGGTGGTGCATGGCTGTAATTCTAACACTCCAGAAAGGGAGGCTGAGGCAGGAGGATTGTTGTAAGTTCCAGGTCAGTCTGGGTTATGTAGTTAGTTCAAAGTCAGCCTGAACTACATAGCGAGATTTTGTCTAAGGAAAAACAATTATATGACATTAGTTTTGGTAATTAACTCTTTTCTTCTAAGTACAAAACTAAAAGTATATTTAGAATCCAGCGTCTCTACCATTCAATCAATCCCATCCCCATCTTTCTGTGTGAGGCCCACAGCTCAGGCTGCTAAAAAACAAAAATGAACTCTGCAGTTCTGGAGAGATCCTTGTTTGAAGTTTAGCGCTGCTGCTCATATTTGGCACAGAAATAAAAACTTGAAACATAGCACATTTTACACTTACCTCAGCTCCACAGATGCAACATTACCCAGCCCTTCAAAGACCGCTCCCTTTGAAAGACGCTTAGCAATGAAACTGCGCAGCTCTGGCTCCACTTCAGATGGTAGATTAGTATCCGCCAAGGAGAGGCTTGACAAATGAGACACATATTCCTTACTAGTAGGCCGCTGTATTCACCCGTAAGTCTACAGAATGGTCCCAAATCCAAAGTCTGTCTCTGTCACTCTTTGTTTGTCTCATTTTTTGTTTTCTTGAGACAGGGTCATGCTATGTAGTTCAGGCTAGCCTTGAACTTCCAGTGATCCTGCCTTAGCCTCCAGTGCTAGGATTACAGGCATGTATCACCAAGTCTGGCTTTTGAGGTTTCTCTTAAGGACCAGATAAGAAAACTGTCTGCCAGCTCCCTGTTGTGATATCTGGATCTGGAATGGCCCCCAAAAGACTCATGTGTTGCAGGCTTGGTCCCTGGCCTTAGTGCTATTGGGAGGTGGTGGAACCTTTAGAAGGTAGGGCCTTGGAGCAAGTTTGCTCTCAGGAGATCCGCCCTTACTGGGGAAGGTAGGACTCTTGACCGCTCTCTTTTGCTTCCTACCTGTCAGGAGGTGAATAACCTCCTTTTCCACGTGCTGCCATATGATGTACTGTGTTCCCAGCAGTGAGGGGAAGAACAAAACAGGCTTGACGGTGCACGCCTGTAATCCCAGCACTCTGGAAGGTTGAGGCAGGAGAACCACAAATTAGAGCCCAGGCTGCACAACTCAGTGACTTAGTGAGACCCTATCCTAAAATAAAAAATAAAAAAGGACTGGGTATCAGTGCAGAGGCCTTGGGCTCCATCCCTAGTACTGAAAAATATTTTCTTCATGTCATTTGAAAATTCTTTATATCATCCATTATCTAGCTCCATGTGGTGCTACATGCCTTTAATCCCAGCACTAAGGAGGCTAAAGCAGGATTATCACAACTAGGTAAAGAATTTTTTTTTTTTTTTTTAGGTAAAGAATTTAAAGCCAGCCTAATAAGGTCTAATAGTAAGAGCCTGTCTCAAAAAAAAAAAAAAAAAAAAAAAAAAGAACCCACAGAGCCAGGTGGAGTACACACCTGTAATTCCAGCACTTGGAAGTCTGATGTAGAAGGATTACTGTGAGTTTGAGACCAGTCTGGACTACATCCTGGCTATGTAGTGAATTCAAGGCCAGCCTGACCTATAGATTGAGATACTATCTCAAAAAAAAAAAAAAAAATCAACAAAAAGAACAATCATTATTAGGCTGGGCATGGTGGCACACACCTATAATGTTAGCCTCAAAAAGCAGCAGGATTTCTGCAAGTTCAAGGCCAGCTTGGGCTACACAGTGAATTCAGGACATAGTGAGAGCCTGCCTCAAAATAAATAAATAAATAAATAAATAAATAATAGATAAATATCAGCCACTATTCATCCAGTGAACACACTATTTTTGTATTACCTTATTTTGCATCCAGTATGAAGACATATACATTAATTCACACATTTAATAAATACATTTTTTTTTTTTTTTTGATTGGATACTGTGGATTGAACCCGAGACCAAGCGCTTCCAAGGCAGGTGCTTATTCCGCTGAGCTAAATCCCCAGCCAATATATATTAAATGTTTAACCTGTGTCAGGTACCACTCAGTAGGAAGACATCAGTAAATGAAAGAGACAGCCCCTGTTGTCCTAGGGTTTACATTCCTAGAATCCAGTGTATGTTAGAGGAGCTAATACAGAATATTGAGCGGGAATGGTGGTGAAGGCTAGTAATCCCCAATGAGGAAGGAGGAGTCTGAGATAAACCTGCCCTACAGACAGTTCAGGGCCAGCTTGAACCACAAACCAAAACACTTGTTTTTTTTTTTTTTTTTAAAGAGGATTTAAATTAAATATTAAAACAATGAATATATTACTGGAATTTCCACCAAGAAACTCTAAATCTCTCTAGCTAATCAGAGGCTGAATCAGTACTTTGATCTGCCCCACCCCTGGATGACTGAGCCAGTGAGGAAATCAGGAGAGTTTTCTAGGCAATAGAAAGAACTAATGAACAGTTTGTCTCCAGGAAAGCTCAGTGGAAACAGTACCCACTGACATCTACAGGCTGGAGAGGCATACAAAATAAAAGCACATGCATGGATTAAACTATTTTTACCTGAAGTCCTCACCAGAGGGAGTTTCCACATTTGTGCCACTTGGGCTTCCATCATCGCTGTCCCCTCGCTGCTGTGCCAATCTGCAAGTCACAAAAATGACTGCTATCAGTTATGTGCTTTAAATTATGCAGGCTGTGTGCCTCTACAAGTCGAGTAAGCATGGGTCCTCTACAGCTTATCCATATGAAAGGGAGAACCCATAAAAAGCACTGGCAAGAGCCCCTGTCTTTCCAGGGTACCTCAGGAGGTGGAGTAAAGGCCTAATGCCCAAAAGGACTCAAAACTGACTTTGTAGGCCAAGCAAGACGCTGGAAAGTCAGCCAGAGAAAAAGGAGGCAGCAAGGGCAGCGGAGACCAGAAGAAGGAGGTTAAGTGGGTGTGGCAGAAATGGGAAAAAAACAAGGAGATAACAGGGCATCAGAGGGCAGAACTCTCCCAGCCTGCGAGTGCTAAATTAAACAAATGGCTGGGAGTAGAGGCAGGGCTGAGAAAACATCAGGACAGAGAGATGGCAGTTTTGGATGAGCCAAGACAGGAGCCAGAAGAACGGAGTGAGGCCAAGAGGGCCTTAGCGCTAGGGGCCTTGGCTGCAATAGAAGCTGACATTTGAGGGCGGCCGGGCCACCAGGCAGGGGATGGGGTGCAAGGCCTGGCAGTGGGCTCGGGGTGGGGCGGCTGGGGCAGCTGGGCAGCCTTAGCCGGGCTCGGACACCTGCTTCCGCGGTAGCCGTAGAGACAGTAGTGGCTGCTGGGTGGCGGCTCGAATCTCCGCTCCTCCGCGGAACCACCCTCTTCGCTGCTCTCTAACTCCTTTTCGTCTCCATCCAGCGATTCCTGCAAAGAAGGCAGCATCGCCGTGGCCTTCTGGCGTCCCTGTGCCGCCGCCAAACTGTTCCCCCGCTGCTGTGCAGTCCGCAGCAACCGGGTTCCTCCGGGTCCGCGCTCTCACGAATGTGCGTTCCGATGGTTTCCGAGGTCCCGAGGCCAGGAAGCCACCTAGGGAGAGGAAGCCAGGCTCTTGCCTTGGGGCACAGGATTCGCCCCCATCCCAGAGTTCATACCGTTTCTTTTAAACTCATTTTTTCTGCTCTCTCATTTGAGACGTCAAAGTAATGAGGTAGGATAAAAGAAAAAGCACCTCGAAATCATAATCTTAAGGGAACTATGTCACATTCTGTGCTGTGAGAAGCCCTAAGAGTAAATAAGAACCAATGAATGATAGATACTGGGAAGCAGGAAGAACAGGTTCAAGTGGGAAAGGTAACAAGGAAGGGCGAAGCGAAGGAAAGGAAAGGGAAACAGGAAAATGAAAGGAAAAAAATGGAAACAGCCTTCGTAAATGGGGAGGGGAAACAAGAATTAAAGGGAAGGGAGTGAATAAGGGGTAAAACCCGAAATATATTATATGGGGACAGGGATGTAGCTCAGTGGCACAGCACCTGCCTAGCAAGCACAGGGCCCTGGATTTGATTCCGAGCACCAAAAACAAAAATTAAAATTTTAAAACATCTGCCTAGCCAGGCATGGTGGCACATGCCTGGAATTCCAGCACTTGGGAGGCTGAAGCAGGAGGATCATTGCAAGTTTGAGACTAACCTGGGCTACAAAGTAAGCTCAGGACCAGCGTGAACTACAGAGTGAGAACCTGTTTTAAAAAGACCAAAAAAAAAAAAAAACAAAACAAAAAAAACCTGCCTAATAGACCTCTTTATGCCTTTTACTGTTTTACTGACACTTTTTTTTTTTTTTGGTCTTTTTCCTTTTTATCGGTACCGGGGATCGAACTCGCGAACTGCCTGCTTACAAGGCAGGCACTTATGCTGCTGGGCTAAATCCCCAGCCCCTTACTAACACATCTTGAAAATGCTTTTTCGGTGGCAAATGTCATCAAAGCTATAGCCTGCCTGATGTGTGGGTTCCCTGTGGGTGGGCACTTTGGGGAGCCTCCTGGGTTGCTGCCCAGTGACAGTAAAAGTGGTACTAGTTAGCTGCATGGGGAGAAAAGATCTGGCCCCCTGTTGTAGTCTGGGTTTGCAAGGGAATAGAATTAATACGGGACACTTTTTTTTTTTTTTTTTTCGGTCTTTTTGAGACAGGGTCTCATTTTGCAGTTCAGGTTGGCCTGGAGTTCACTTTGTAGCCCAGGCTGGTCTCAAATTTGCAAGGGTCAATCTGTCTCTGCCTCCCAAGTGCTGGGATTACAGTTGTGCAATACCATGCCTGGCTAACATATATATGTTATAGGATTATTTTATAATATGCACCCAAAAAGTCAGATGCAGAAGAGTGCAGGAGATCTGTCCACACACTACAGACCCAAAGAACCCAGCTGAGGGCCTGGATCCCACAACAATGTCCTGCACTAGTCCAGCTGGAGACCTAGAGCCCATGTCAATGTCTCATGCAAGTCTATATCAAGGGTCTACACTGGAAAGGCCCAAAGGCCAGAGGTGGAAGATAGAAAGTCTGTGCCAGTGGGATGAAAGATCTATGCCTCCAGGCTGAGAGATCGCATTGGATTCAGGAAGCGACATTCAAGGTAAGGATCAGAGACCTCCATTCCCAACCCCAACCACAATCACCCCTCAGCAACAGTGGAGACCTGAGCCCCCCCACTAATAAGAACAGCTAAGTTCATATTAGGAAAACCAGCATGACAAGCTTCCCCAGAGGAAAATCAAGAGCACACCATCTTCCCCTCCAGTTGTCCTTTTATGCTGTTGGCAACCATTCTCAGGTGAGCTTTCCACACCCAGCACCATGCTGATTCAGTTTAGCTGGGTGTTACAAAGTACCCATTAGTTACTCTACCACACTCACTTACCTTGTTTCCTGCATGGGAGCACACATGGTCATATGCCAGCTTGATTAAGGCATGAATTTAAAATGAAATGTAAAAAAGTGAAAATAGTAGGGGTGGAGATGGAGATGCATGCTTATAATCCCAGGACTCAGGAGGCTGAGGAAAAAGGATTGCTACAGGTTCAAGGCCAGCCTGGGCTACACAGCAAACTCAAGGGCAACCTGAGCTACACAGCGAGGCCTTGTCTCCAAAAAAAAAAGTGAAAATAGTTTAATTTTTTTTAATCTTTTTGAGATGCAGTTGAGGCTGGCCTTGACCTCACTTTGTAGACCAGGCTGGTCTTGAATTTGCAAAGATCCACCTGCCTCAGCCTCCCAAGTGCTGGGATTATAGTAGTATACTACCACACCAGGCTAGCATTTTAAATTCTGATGTAAATGTGTGGATGTTTGCAGGTGTTCTGGAGCTTGGAAGATTTTGTGGTTTGTTTTTTCTCTGCTTTATGACACTCCTGTGTTTTTCAAGGGTAACAAAATCAGTGCTGAGCTGGATTTTCTCTGGGAACAATGCTGCCACTGACAAATAGGTTGAAAAAGTCATCTCCAAATCGAGCCTGACAAAAGCGTAATTTAAAAAGTGTACTTTAAAAAAAAAGTGTACTTTTAGGGACTGGGGATATAGCTCAGGGCATGAGCACCTGCCTGGCAAGTGCAAGGTCCTGAGTTAAATTCTCAGTACCAAAAAATAAAAAGTTTACTTTTGGGTCAGGGCTATAGCCTAGTGGCACAAGTGCCTGCCTAGCAAGCATGAAGTCATGAATTCGATCTCTGGTACCCAGCCCCTAAAATTGTACTTTTGAGCTGGGCATGGCAGGTTTGCTATGAGTTCAGGTCCAGCCTGAGCTACATAGTCTGACCCTGTCTCAACAAAGCCCCACTCCCCAAAAATTATACTTTTAAAAACCTGCATCTGTGCCAGGCATGGCAGTGCACTCCTGTTATCCCAGCACTCAGGAAACTGAAGCATGAGGCTTGCCACAAGTTCAAGGCCAGCCTGGGCTACATGGTGAGCTCAAAGCCACCTGAACTACATAGCAAAATGCTGTCTCAAAAAATACAATGCAATGCAATACAATACAATAGCTGCATCTTCATCTTCAAGGTATATGAAAGTTACCAAGGTTACCCATATCTGTATTCAGAAGGTTTGTTTATGCTTTTTTCTTCCAGACCCATCATACTCCAAATCCCTTAAGTATACTTTTAAATCTGTAAATTAGCTAAGCTAATAAAATAAAGGATAAAACCCTGACCTTTAGAAACCATGTTTAAACCCCCAACTTTTCTATAGATGTGTAAATGTCCACTTCCAAAAACACATAAATATCCCCAGCTCCCAGCTATAATGCAGGTCTCTGATGAGGGTCTGTACTCTATTTTAAGTGTGTACTTCAAATTCTACCTAATAAACCTCTTCATGCCTCTTACTGAGGTGTCATGAAAAAATTTTTTTTTTGGCTGGGTGTGGTCGCTCATGCCTTTGATCCCCGTATTAATAGGCAACTAAATTAGATAGAAATTAATACACAATCAGAGAGGGACATGGGCTCTTAAGGGAGTCAGCAGAACAAATCAGACATCAGCATCGTGGCTGGAGGTGCATCTGGAGAAGGCCAGACCTCAAGGTGAAGATGCAGAGGCCAGGCCCATAGGCCTCCCTGAGAGGTAACGTGAAATTATATTGTAATTAGCACCACCTGGCCCAGTAAATCCAGCTAAGCATCAGATGCCCATGTGGGTGACGAGAGCATCTGGAACCATCCTACCAGGGACCACTGCAACAGACTCCAATCTCCTGCAAGGTGTTATAGCACATGGTCAAAAGGAAGCAAGAGACAAAATGGTGATGCTGCTGGGAACTGAGATGACCAGTTGTTCACAGGGAACTAAAGGCCATGAGGTAGCCAGAACCTGGATGTTTATTGATCAAGGAAAATGGTGAGGGGATTATCAGATGACTAAGAAAGCTGTGGAAGGCTTACCCTGTTGATGAGAATGGTGGGGAGAGGTGGCAGGTTACCAAGGAGTTTGTCCTTTCCCCAGGGTGAAACACTTTTCTTGTTATTACTGCTTTCTCAAGGAACCAGGATGTCCTCCACTGATGAGACCTTGCTTTGGACTTCATCTGTGAATGGAGGCACACATAGTTATGTTCCCACACTCCACAGCTGCTTTCCATGGCAAGACTCTAGGCCTTGGCCAAGCCCTAATCACATTTATTTTTTATTTTTCGGTACCAGGAATTGAACTCACAATCTCGTGCTGTGCCGCTAAACTATATCCCTGGCCTCCTGATTGCATTTTAAATATGAAATGATTTTTCCCCAACAACTATATAGAATGGTCCTCAATACCGCCCCTTCCCAAAAATGCCTTTGTTCTTTCCATGTATCCCTATGTACTCCTTACTGAATCCGTATCAGCGAAGTAGCTCTCCTATAGGATGACAACAGTTTGACCCATGTTGTACTTGTTACAGTTGAATGGGACTATTATTTCATATGATAAGGAAAGAATTGCCAAGTGTACCCCCGATGGTAACTAGTAAGTAGCTACATTCTTTGAACAACACTAGAAAGGTAGCAGTAAGAAAGGAGGATTAAAAAAAAAAAAAGAAAGAAAGGAGGATAAGGGCTGGGCATGATGACACACCCCTGTAATCCCAGCACTTGGGAGGCTGAGGCAGGAGGATCACTGTGGGCTTGAGGCCAGCCTTGGGCTACATAGTGAGATCCTGTCTCAAAAAAATGAAACAAAACAAAAAAGAAAGAAAGAAAAAAGAAAAAACAGGCCTATAATTTAAGTTTCCAGACTTCAAAGGCTACACACCTCTGCCCTTGGAGCCTCCCACTGAATCTCTCACTGACTCCTAGCATGGCAATTTTCTAAGCTTTTCTTATTTTTTATCTCAGGATCATAGAAGCAGGAATAACCAGAGGGTGCCACTTACAGTTAAATGGAGGGAAGGGAGAGACTCTCAGCTCCTTTGTTTCTATCTGTACTATACCCACATTGTGACTTGCTGTATAAATTACCCCTGCCAAAAGGCCTTCCTGCCCACCCACTCAGGACCACTCTTGTCTCACAGGGACTGTCAATAAACCTTTCCTACCCAGTCTCCGTTGTCCTTGAAATGCATTCTTTCATATTGGTGGGACGTGAACTCTGCATATCTGACATCTGCTGGCTGGGAGTTGTACCTCTCCTATATCCCCAGCACTTGGGAGGCTGAGGCAGGAAGATTGCCATGAGTACAAGGCTAGCAGGGGCTACATAATGAATTCAACGCTCTCGCGAACTACATAGTGAACACCTGTCTCAAAAAATTCTTTAACTGTAACAGAAGTCTGTGAACCTGAAGCTTGCCTTGTGGACAGGATGAATCAAAGTTTCACATCTCTGCTTTGGGGACCACCACATACCCCCTGGTAATAAGAGGCTGAGGCAGAACAATCATGAGTTCAAGGACAGCTAGGGCTACATAGCAAGTTCAACGCCCCCTTGGAACATAGTGAGACTATTTCAAAAACACACACACTTAAAAGACATACACAGAGATATTTTATTTTATTTTATTGAGACAGGGTCTCACTCACAGGGTCAGGGTGGCCTTGGCTCACTTTGTAGCCCAGGCTGGCCTGGAACTTGCAACAGTTTTCCTGCCTCAGCCTTCAAGGGCTGGGATTACAGGATTGTGCCACCACACTTGGCTTAACACAGAGGTACTTTAAAATCTGAGTACAGCAAAGTGAAACAGTTCTGTAGTCAAAGCCATGATGCAGTTGTGACATAGGACCCACTACAGGGACAGGCAGACTCTGGGGCCCTTCCTGTACTTGTTAAAAAAATGATGTATGTTTTCTTCCAGCGACATAAAAGGCAGTTTTTCCTGTGTTCACTTGGGCATGCAGGTGCCCAACACCTGATATAGGAATGATAGCAGTACCTTTATAAGGGAAATATTGTAATTCCCAACCTGCTGGATGTCCAATATCCCAAGCTCGTGTTCCCTAGAATCAAAGAATGAATTCAAGGAACGAGGAAGGTTAAGAGTAGGAAATGCTTATTGAGGAGGAAAAGTGCAATTCCTGAGAGGCAGGAGGGGGCCCAAAATTAGGTTACTGAGGACCCAACTTTTCATAAAGTTTTTTTTTTTTTAATTTTCTACGTGTTGTGCATCACTCATTTTTCTTTTTTTTAAATTTTTATTTTGAAAGTATACAACAGAACAAGTCAGAATAAAGCCAACTAAGATCGTACAGTGAAATTGGTACAGAACTTCACAGCAGGTTACCGGGATAACAGTAATAGCTATCACAGTATATTTTGTTATCTTTATAATAGTTGTTCTTTCAATCCCATATATCAAAATGAGATGAAATATAGAACACTACAGAACTTATCAAAACAGAATATTGAATAGAGCAGTACCATTAATCAGAAAAGAGCAAAACAGTAATAAAAATATTTGCCTTCAAAGAAATGGTAGAAGGAAGTCCCCCTTATTTGCTATGGTCAAACTCCCAGAAGACACTGCTAGTTCTCCCCTGGAAGGCCTGCAGTGGTCCACACTGCCGCCACTTACCAGGGAGGGGAGGTGCTGGCTTGGCTTCCCAAAGTCCTCAGTTCCAACATGGCGTGGATCTCAGGAGACACTGCTAGTTCTCCCCCTGGAAGGGCTGCAGTGGGCCAACCTGCCTCCGCTTACCAGCGAGGTGAGGTGCTGGCTTGGCTGCCCAGAGTTCTCAGTTCCAACATCTCATAAAGTTTTTATAGAGCAAAAATCACATGGGTACGAAGTTATGATCAACCAATAAGGTTACGAGTACAGTCACTTAGGTAATAGTGATCCAATGAGAAAACAAATCATGTAACAATGTTCATGGAAGAACAAAAAATTTTTTAGCAAGTGATGAATCTGAGGGTCTTGGTCATCCACCAAAGTCACTGATGTCTATTTAGATCTCATTAGACGAAGTGTTACTATTTATTTGTTTGTTTGTTTTTATTTTGAGAGGAATAAAAACAATAGAACAAAACAAAAGCAGTAAGAACAATACTGGATTTCAAAAACAAGACAGAAGGAAACCCCCTGTAGTTTCTCTATTGTATACTGTTATCCTCTAAACATGTGCTCATATTACTGGTTTTAAGCCCATAAAGTCAATTAATTAATACAGGTATTAAGTTGTTTTTGTACTTCAGTTGCTATCAATTCAGTGATCCTCTGAATTTGCCAGTTGCTGATGGGTGGGAGTGGGGTGGAGGCTTGGCTCTTGTCTCCCAGCCTGTGTGCTGGCTAGTTTATGGGAAGGGCGAATTGGCTTTCTGTTTCTCTTCCCAGCTCCTCATGGATGCTTCAGACTCACAGAGTGTGTGAACTGACTTCTTGTTTCTCTGCCTGGCCCCGCATGGCTGCTGCTGGCTTGTGAAAAGTGCAAACTGGCTTCTTCACTAGTACAACTCATTTAGTGAGCTCTGGTCTTAAAATAAAAATAAAGAGGGGATGGGATTTTAACTCAGTAATAGCATACCCATGGATTTTTTTTCTTCCTCCTCCTCCCCCTCCTCTTCTTCTGAGTTCAGGCTGGCCTTGACCTCACAACAGTCCTACCTCAGCCTCCCAAATAGTGGGATTACAGGTGTGCACACCACCATAGCCAACTGCACCCATGAATTGGATCACAATACCAAAAAACACGTAATTGTGAAATATAGGAACCCAGAAATATTCCTTGTATCATGATTTGTAACGGTGAAAAACCAAAAACAATTTGAATGCTAGTCAGTGGTGGGTGGGCTACACAAATTAGGGCACATGTGGTAGTAGGGCCGCAAAAATACCCACATCCTAAGCTGTGAAACCTGAAAGCCTGTTACTTAAATGGCAACAGACACTTTGCAGATATGATTGAATTAAAGATCTTGAACCGAGATGTTATCCTGGTGACCAAATGTAAACAAATGCCTGTAATCCTGAGGCTGGAGATCAGGGTGTGGCAAACTGTCTGGGGAAGTGGGGGTGGCCTTTTAATTGCAAAGTTCCAGGGCACAGGCACAGAACAGTTCCCAAAGCCCGCAGATGGAACCAATGGGACAATGTTGTCTTAAATTCTTCTTGCAAGAATTTGAGCAGGTTTTTCATATGATGGCCTAGACCTGAGACCAGCTTGTTGAGTGGGAGATGGTGTCTCCCTACAGAAACCTGACTTCCCTATACAAAACACACCCCAAACTGGGTGTGTGGTGCAGGCCTGTGTTCTCAAAACCGAAGCAGGAAAACTGAAGCAGGACTTCTAGCTCTAGCCCAGCCTGGGCAATTTACTGAGATCTTGTCTCAAAATAAAATATAAAGGCCTGGCTCACCATGTCAACTATTACATCAGACCCTATCCACTTTAAATTTTTTGAATATTAGAAAGACTCATCTACTACAGCAGTGAAAATTTTTGGGGCATTATAAAAGGGCCTCTAAAACCAATAGGGCAGCCTGTTTTTTGGAAAGACATTCATACTGGACAATAGGAAAAAGATATTTTCAAATGTGGAGTTGAAGGTTTGCTTTCATCATTGCAGAATCCGGAGAAAAGGCGTGGCTACCTCCCAGAAGAATTAAACCTTGAAATGAGCTACGAAAGAATCAGATTTGATCTGGATCCCCCAATGGAAGAAAGGAAAGCAACATCATTGTAACATTACCTCCAGACACCAATCAAGAGCACTCAAAACACACAATCTCCACCTTGGGGACAACTAAAAAAATTGACCCAAGATGCTGAAAAAGTATTAAATTCCACTGGACAGGCATTCTCAGTTGATATTATGTTTCTAGCCAAGTTGGCTACTGTAACCATCAAGGTAGGTGCAACCTCTTTAGAAAATGTAACATACCATTATTGGGCCTATATTCCAAAACCTCCAGGAGGTAAAATTATCAAATGGGCTGATGTTCCTGTACCAATAAATGTTAATCAATCTAGATGGCTTCCTGTCATACAGTCATATGACATACGGGGACCATTAATGCCAGAAAACAAGGAACAAGAATAAAAATTATTCAGTGGGGACCAAAGCCCCACCTATTTGAATGGGCCACGGAAATCACTGTTTGAAGATCAGCCCTCAAGCTTGGTTATCAACAGTCAGTTGATAACCACAGTTCTGCTAATCATAGCAAGATATTTCTATTTTTGTTTCAAGTTTGGGCTTTCAAAGGATCGACTTTTGTTAATTTTACTCCTCCAAAATTACCACCAAGCCATCAATGGGTAACTGAAATATCTGACTGGGTTTATTGGGAGGCATGTAGGTCCAATACCAGCTAAGTTTTACTTAATACTTCCTATGGAAGCGCCATGGATTGATTGGAGCCCTATGGTTCTGCTCAAGCTGAATACTCCATCGAGAATCTTAAAGGAAATGGAACAGTACTATTAGTACACAAGCAAATGAATCTATTATGTGGTATGGTGGAGGAATGTAAAACTTCAATCTAAAATAGGATGCGGTCCTCCTCATTCATCTTTATGGAAATTAGTAACAGCATTACATCCTTTACATACTTGGAAACGATTTTACTCTAAAAATGAGACTGGCACTCAGCTCTCTTTTACTATTATTTCCACTCTACACACACGCATGTGTACATCTTCCTTACATTTATCACAATTGGTGAAGCAAACTGAAATGCTTCCGAATTCCTGCTTACATGCACAAATTCTAATTTTTGTTTTGTTTTGTTTTGGTACTGGGAGTCAAATCCAAGACCTTATTCCTGCCTCGTAGGCACTTATGACACTGACCTATATCCTCAGCTCCTAATTAGTTTTTTTTTTGGTGCTGGGGATCAAACTCACGATCGTATGCTTGCAAGGCAGGTGCTTATGCCGCTGAGCCCCCTAATTGTCGTTTTTATAACTGTTAAATACTTCTATACCATTGAATCATTCTAAAGACAGTATATATATATATATATATATATATATATACACACACACACACACACACACTTAAAAAATACGGCTATATTTAAAAAAACAGCTATAGATACCTGTTAACTTAAAAAGACCATTATAACTTACCCCAGCTGCTTACGTGTTAGAAAATTTTCTAGATAAATTAAAAAAGCAAAGCAAGAGGGCTGGGGATTTAGCTCAGCGGCATAAGCACCTGCCTTGCAAGCAGGCAGTTGTGAGTTCGATCCCTGGTACCGATAAAAAGAGAAAAAAACAAAAAAACACAGCAAGAGATTTGTATGGGGGGGGGGCCTGAGGATTTAGCTCAGCGCCATAAGCACCTGCCTTGCAAGCAGGCAGTCGTGGTTTCCATCCCTGGTACTGATAGAAAAGAAAAAAGACAAAAAAAAAAAAAAAAAAAAAGAGATTTGTATGGATTCTGATTGCAGTTATCATAGGAATTATTGACATCACAGCTATGCAGGGGTAGCAGAAGTGGCTTTTCATCAGCCAGTACAAACTAATCAATTCATGCAAACACATATGAACATTCTGTTGGTTATGACAAAATGAACATTCTATAGATAAAAAATTGGCAGCTCATATAGCAGATTTGCAACAAGTGGTATTATTGTTAAGAAATCAAATAATTAATTTACAAAAAGTTATTAGGCCAAGATTATGGGATGCACTCAAGAATGGAGTAGGAGGGGCTGGGGATTTAGCTCAGCAGCATAAGCACCTGCCTTGCAAGCGTGTGGTCGTGAGTTCGATCCCTGGTACCGGTAAAAATACAAATAAATAAATAAATAAATAAAAAACAATGGAGTAGGGGTACTCGGAGCTTTGAGACATAGTACAAGCTGAAGTGGGGTATATTTAAGGGGTTGTCTTTAAGATGGACGACCTAAGTTAGGATATAATGCAAGCTGTCTACATATGTATGAAGTTGAGATATTTTGCCCACCAATATTACTGTTTTTTTTTTTTTATCGGTATTGGGGATTGAACTCACGATCATGCGCTTGCAAAGCAGGCACATATGCCGTTGAGCTAGACCCCTGGCCCAGAAAAGCATAATTTAAGAGCCCTATCTACAGGCATATTATAAAATGACCCTAAGGCCAGGCACCGTGGTACACACTTATAATGCCAACACTTAGGAGGCTGAGGCAAGAGGATTGCTGAGAGAATCTGAGGTCAAGCCTAGGATTTTTAGTTGGTTCAAGGTCAGTCAGAACTATATTTCGAGACCTTGTCACAAAACAACAATACTCAAATATAACTCAGCTTCTCGCTTACTGTGACCATGGGTAAATTACCCCAAGGTCTTAAGTGACTTTTAAATTTCATCTCTACTAAACAGGTTGATAATAATGGCATCTGTATCACAGCTTTATTGAGACTGGAGGTCTGTAACGCAAAATTTCCACTGCCTGGCATATGCTAACAGACTCGATATATACCTGTTATTTTTTGCCTTTAGCAGTGACACAATTCAAACAGCTATATGCCAAATTCTGTTCCAGGTGCAGCCAGATGATGACACACAATGATTTCTCCAAATCCACACAGCTAGGCAATGCACTGACAACACTGGTTGGAGCACAAGTGCTAGACTCTAAACCATCTCTTGGATGCATTATTCATTTTTTTTTTTTTTTTGGTACCAGGGATCAAACTTACAACCTCACGCTTGCCAGGCAGGCGCTTATACAGCTGAGCTAACTCCCTGGCCTGGATGCATTATTCTTTTATTCTTTATTTTTTGAGACAGGGTCTTGCTGTGTTCAGGCAGTCCTTGAACTCATTATGCAGTCCAGGCAGGCCTGGAAGGCAGGGCAGTCCTCCAGCCTCCCAAAGATTTGGGATTACAGGCATGTACCACCTGCGCTTTGCCTCCCAAGGATTCTCTCTTTACCAATAAGCATCTTTGCTGATCTCCTGACCTACTATAGTTTTTCAGGTGCCCAGCCTCAAAGTCTTGTATTTATTTATTTTGCCTTTGGCACATGCTTGCTATCCAACTCCAGAAGCTTAGTCAGGGACATGGCTGAGGCCTGCTTTTGCTATACAGCAAATTCAAGGACAGCTTGAACTACAGTGCAAGACCCAGTCTCAAGCAACAATATGCATCACCAAAATCTTAAGTCTTTTGTCTGATAGTGAGATACCCACGTTCAGACCTTTCAGATAACCGTATGATTACTGATGTGGGGACCTGCGATCTCACCACACCACCATCTCCCTAGTCGCCAGCCCAGTCCCCGCTGATCGTAGTGTGTCCGTTACTCCGCTGTCACTACCCTGTGAACTACAAAGCACAGACTATGACTTCTTTGCCTTAGCACGTAGTAGGCACGTAGCCAAGGGTGCTATGGAAACAATTTACAAATTGGACAGTCTCAACCTTTATTTGTTGCCAGTCCTTAATTACTTTGATCATTTTTTCTCTTTCTGATTCGAGCGCCTTAGTGCACCTACGCGGGTGCAATAAACTTGAGAATTAGCAAGCACACCCACGCAGAGCAGGAAACACAGAAACTCACAAGATGGTGGCCGCCGTTCCCGCATCCCCCGCCGCACATTTCCACCCACTCAAGGGCGGTGGTCTGAATCACGTGATCACAGTCGCCTAGCTCCGCCTCCCGCCGCAGTGCCTATCGGGAGGCGGAGCGCAAACGAGGGCGTCGGCCATTTTGTGTCTGCTTCCTGTGGGACACCGTGGTGGCAGTTGTTCGGGAAAGTGAGCGCTCTTCTGCTCGTTTTTCCTGTTTCTTCTCGTCTCTTTTTTACGTTGTCGGTTGGGCGCAGTTATGGGGCGCAAGAAAAAGAAGCAGCTGAAGCCGTGGTGCTGATATCCTTTGTCAGTTTGAAGTGAAGGCCGAGTGGCCGGTGTGCCGGTGGTTGAGGAATTGGGACCTGGAGGCCTGGGGTTTGGCCGATGGCGGCGGGCGTCTGGAGCGAGGCCTCAGGGTGACCGGGGGCCGGGAAGGGATTTGAGGAGGTTTCTCGGAATAAGGGGTCCTAAGGCTAGAGGCTTCGGGTGTTGTGTGGTGGACTCGTGACTCGGAGATCTGTTCGGTGAGACGCGGCCGCCTGGGAGGAAGGAGGCCGGGACCTTCTCCAAGGGCCGCGTCCCGGAGCCCGGTCTGTGTTTCGGTGACGGTTCAACAAAGACACTTCCTCCTCGGGCTGTGTGTTGATTGACTCCCGCGGGGTTGCGGAAGATCTCCGGGAGTCTCGGTTTCAGTCCAGTCGGTGGCTCAGTAGAGGCCCCCGTTAACACAGGATTTGAACCATTTGTCGCCCCCGGGGCTTGGCGAAGATCTAGCTTCTCTGTTGCACTCGGGTGTTTTAGTCTTCGCCAGCCTTTCTCTGCGAGGGTGGAGTTCTATTACCCAATTTTGTAGGACGGGAAAAACATTTATCAGGAAGGAAAACGCGCACAAAAGTGTTCATCTTGTGACATACCTTGTTAAAACCCTAACGTACTTTGTTAAAACTGATTGTATTTACAGGCTTGTGCCTAAAAATCAGTTTGTCGGGGCTGGGGATTTAGCTCAGTGGCATAAGCGCCTTCCTTGCAAGCAGGCAGTCGTGAGTTCGATCCCTGGTATAGATAAAAAAACGACCAAAAAAAAAAAAATCGGTTTGTTACAGAGCCGATGTTTTAAAGTAATAGTTTAGAAATACTTTAAGGTCGGTCACTGATTTTGTAATGTGCTGGTGGGGAAATCGGAGTATAAGGTAAGAATAATCCACTCTGGACTGAGTTCATTACCCAGCATCACTAATACGAAATTGCAAGCAACTTTATTTATTCAAAATGATGTAGATAATTATTCACCACGAAGTTAATTTTTTTGAATTTTTAAAATTTTTTATTTGATTTTTTGAGACAGGGTAGTTCAGACTCACTATGTAGGCCAGGTTGGCCTGGAACTCCGAGATCCTCTTGCCTCAGCCTCCTCAATGCTGGGATTACAGGCCTCCGCTGGACTGAAAGTAATGTTAGAACATAAATTTAAGGGTTTCTTAAGAAGAAAGCTTTTCCATATGCATTTGTATGTGTCAAACTTTGAAAAGGGTTTCATACAACGCTTGTGTTAAGAATTCGTCAGTGTATTGCCAGGGCTGGGGATTTAGTTTAGCGGCATAAGTGCCTGCCTGGCAAGTGCTACGTCACGAGTTCGATCCCTGGTACCAAAAAAAAAAAAAAAAAAAGTATGTTGCCAGAAACTGAGATGTATATATGTGTGTGAGATGAAGCAAGTTGCACTTCCAGGAAATGGAAAATAAGGAACCATTTGGCATATGTCTTTACTAATTGTATAGCAAAGTAGATTGTGAAACATTTGGTTTTAGCTATTGTATTTTAATATTATGTTACTTTTTTAAATAAAAGGTGGGCGGGGTCCTCTTGCTCAGGCTATTTCAAGGTCATAGGCTCAAGCAGTTCTTTTGTCTCAGCTTCCTAACTAGGTGGGACTAGAGGTGCACACTGCTTCCAGGCTGTGCAAATTGTTTTCTTATGGACATTGTCATTGTGCTTCTTTTGAACCTTAACAACTTTGATTAGGTATTGTAATAGAGATTTTGATGATGAGAAGATTCTTATACAGCATCAAAAAGCAAAGCATTTTAAATGCCATATATGCCATAAGAAACTATATACTGGACCTGGTTTAGCTATTCATTGCATGCAGGTAAGGATTCTTTTTTGGGGGGCGGGGCGGGGAGTCTTTTTTAGACAGGATCTTGCTAGGCAGTTCAGGCTGCCTTGGGCTCACTTTGTAGCCCAGGCTGGTCTCGGACTTGCAAACAATTCTCCTGCCTCAGCTTCTCAAGTGCTAGGATTATAGGAATGTGCCA